GGGGGCGGGGCTGGGTCCGGATTGGGGGCTGGTAGTTTAAACTGCGGGGCTGGGCCTAGCAGGGCGGGCTCCAGCAAAGGAAGCAGGTGTTTGGGGCGGCCAATGGGAGGGGGGCACGTCCGGGTCGTCTTAACCCCCCAAAAGCTGGAGCCAGCCCTGGGGGTTGGGGGGAGTCAATTAGGTTAGTCTTGGGGGGCTGGTCTGGGATTAGGGGCTGAGTGTGGGGCTAGGGGTCTGTTAGGCAAGGGGGCAGGACTGTTAGGACTGGGGGGCTGGGTCTGGGGGGCTGTTAGGCAAGGGTGCAGGACTGTTAGGACTGGGGGGCTGGGTCTGGGGGTCTGTTAGGTTAGGGGGCAGGACTGCGTTAGGATTGGGGGGCTGGTCTAAGATTGGGGGTCTGGGGGTCTGTTAGGCTAGGGGGCAGGACTGTTAGGATTGGGGGGCTGGTCTGAGATTGGGGGTCTGTTAGGCTAGGGGGCAGGACTGTGTTAGGATTGGGGGGCTGGTCTGAGATTGGGGGTCTGGGGGGTCTGTTAGGCTAGGGGGCAGGACTGTGTTAGGATTGGGGGTCTGGGTCTGGGGGTCTGTTAGGTTAGGGGCAGGACTTTGTTAGGACTGGGGGGGCTGGGAGTCAGGATGCAAGTGCTGCTGCGTTGAGGGCACGGGCTCATGGGGGGCGGGGGTAGAGGGCTGAGCTGGATATGTTCCGTCACTGCAGGACGTCCCAGCTGTGGCTCTCGGTGACCCTGTCCCCTGGGGACAGCAGGGCAGCCCCGTTCAGCCCCTGAAGTTGCTGGGCTGGCATCACCCAGTGTATCTGCCAGTGCAGGGTGGGCCGGGGCGGGCTGCAGAAAGCTGATCTTGTGCAATCTAGGGCCCAGCCTGCCAGGAGCTGCAGAGCACCCCGCACCATCGCTGCCGTTGTTAGAGGCCACACGTTGCAGGTGCTCACTACCACACCTGCTCAGGCCCTCACCTGTCACAAGGTTCACTGCCAGCAGGCTCTCCCACTTCCCCATTGCCCACAAACAGTATCGAGACTGTAAATCGTTCCCAGAACAAACACAGCAGGTAACTGCTGCAACTTGGCTTGTCACAGACCCGTGTTGTTTTTAGCTGGCACGAGCCCAGCCTATTGCAACAAGTGCTAGAAGGTCACTCAGTAGTTAAGTTATTAAACAGAGTCAAAAGACAGGAAACTGAACATTAAGGCAACTAGCTCTTATCTCACAACACCAAAAGTAAAACCGGGTCATGCTGGAAACTGCCTCTGAACTTCCTGCAACGCAACCCTAAATAACATCACTTCATTCAATTGAAGACAAAATAAAGCCAACTGCATTTTTAGTTGCTTCCATTCACAGATCTCAACGCACTTTACAAACAATAACGAATCCTTACAAATCCTCAGTAACATGCTTTTTTCATTGCCCATATTACTTACTGATGGCTATGTTGAGGCGCAGAGAGGAGAAGTGACTTGCCCAAGGTCAGACAGTGAGTCAGTGGCAAAGTCAGGAACTGACTCCTAATTCCTGTTCTGGCCTCCTGCAGGACTCTACTGCCCCTTCAGAGAGCAGGCAGCATACGCAATCCAGCAGGTAAGGCACCAGGCTGAATCAGGTGAGCTTGACTTCTGGCTCTGCCACTGACTTGTGTAGCATTAAGCAAGCCACTTAAGTTCTCTGTGCTGTAGCTTCCCCATCTGTAAAATGGGCATAATAATGGTTAAGACGCTCCAGATAGAGGAAAACTGTCTCCACAGACGTCATTATGCAGTCTCACAAGGCCGAGAGCCATTGTGCAGTAACTGTGAAACGTCAGACGGATTTGGAATTCAAGCTCCAATGTAGCTGTGGTGCCAGGCAAGCAGAGGAGACGGGAGATGCAAATATAAGTCGCCAAACAATTTATCATTGCAGCCAGCCCCACTGATCTAGGGCAACTGTCCCAGCTGCTGCTAAGTGCAGGAAAGGTTCTAGAACCCGGCCCTGTCAATGATCTCATTATCAGGCGTGTTCTGGAACTTCTGGGCTAAATACGCATTTCAAAGAACATGTAGGAGGGGGAAGGAGAAAGCCCAGTAGCGCCTCGGAGAGGAGCTTCTTCTGCTGTCTCCAGGCTTACGGACATGGATGACACCTCGGCTTCAGCGGGGTACTCCCACCCCCACATGGAGAGAAAGATGAGCGCTATGGCTTGCACAGTCTTCAACGAGCTTCGACTGGAAGGCAAACTCTGTGATGTGGTCATCAAAGTCAATGGTTTAGAGTTCAATGCCCACAAGAACATCTTATGTAGCTGCAGTTCCTACTTTAGGTCAGTGCTTGAAGCAAGCCAAGCAAGGGAACAGGCTCAATGACGGCTTGCTTGTCTATCGTCATTGTTTTAAAATGGATTTGGGGTGGACGGAAGCCCTGGAACTGGCATCCATTGTTTAGCCAGAGTCCCGATAATGGCCTAGAAACCAGTATCAGGCCACAGTCTAATATTTCACCATAGCCCTGGAAACTGGTGTCCAGAATTTATCCACAGAGCAGGAACAGCATGGGAAGGGCCATTCTGGGATTCCCTACACTGCCCTGCCAAGATGCCCGGCTTCCTGCCACGTAAGCCAGAGGAGATTTCAGTTTCCTTCCGTTGTCTCTGCTGCAACAAGGCAGCCAGTCATTCTGTGGCTACTTATCCACTGGGAACTATCCCCAAGGCCCCAACTCATTTAACACAGGCCAACAAGCCAATGAGATTTTGGTCATTATCCTGTAGTCTGGTTTAAAACCCAAGGTGAAAAGGTCCAGCCTGCCATTGCTCATCCCGAGTCGTCTATCCCCCTGGAGCGTGAGCTGGTGAAGAAGGGATGTATACGTAAAACAGTAGATTTTATATAGGCTGTTTGGTTAAAGTGTTGCTTCATTTTCCAGGGCTTTGTTTACCAGTGGCTGGAACAACACGGAGAAGAGAGTGTATAATATCCCTGGCATTTCCCCTGACATGATGAAGCTAATTATTGAGTATGCCTATACTAGGACAGTCCCAGTCACTGCTGACAATGTGGAGCGGCTACTGGCTGCAGCAGACCAGTTCAACATCATGGGCATTGTCAGGGGGTGCTGCGAGTTCTTAAAGTCTCAGCTGTGCTTGGAAAACTGCATCGGCATCTGCAAGTTCACAGAGTACTACCACTGCCCGGACCTGCGGCAGACGGCCTACATGTTCATCCTGCATAACTTCGAGGAAATGGTGAAGGTGTCTACGGAGTTTCTAGAGCTCTCGGTCAATGAGTTTAAAGACATCATTGAAAAGGACGAACTCAACGTGAAACAAGAAGATGCAGTGTTCGAGGCCATTCTCAAATGGATTTCCCATGATCCCCCAAACAGGAAACAGTACATTTCAGCCTTGCTGCCTAAGGTCAGTTTGTTGCTGGTTTTCTCTCATGCCTGCTAAACAGCGGTGGGTGGCTGAAAGGGGCTAGAGTAGCAGCTCCTTAAACTGAAGTTAGTTCCTTTTAATGCACAGGAAATGTATAAGAGATAGTGGCTGTGCAAAGATTTTCCCACACTGAAGCTAGCCTGTAGGCCCCAATCCTGTAATCAGATCCCTGTGAGGGAGCCTGGAGAGTCCACAGAGCGTTGCACAAGCATGGGGGCTGACCAGGATAGCAGCAAATCATTGCCAGGGAGCCAGAGGCTGTGGAAGGGGAAAGCTGGACTGTGGTACCAAGACTTTTTCTTTAAACCAAGGAAATTAAATCCCCCCCAAACTTAGTTAACGCAGTGTTAAGATTGCCCAGTGGTGCCTTGTGCCTTTCCAAAATGCTGAGTGGCTAACTTAAACCTCTGAGACCCAGGAAAAAACAAGATAAGATGGATGAACGCCCCCCTTGCAATCTTAATTCGGCCCTCTCACCAGAGCCCAGACACACCAATCACACACACTAGCACTCTATCCTCATGGATAGATCACATGAGCATGGGATAAAGGCCAACATGTGTTCCTTGCTAAGGCCAAACTAGGGTTTAGGCCAAGGGTTGCAAGCAGGAGCTACTTACACTTGGTCTGCACTCAGACACACAAACCACCCCAGACCTGCGAAACTTGAATCACCCCTTCACCCTGGTCCCAAGGATTACTTCCCTTTACACCACTCCCGAAATCTCTGAGACCACGGTGACAACACCCATGGCAAGAAGGCATTCTTGTGTGTGTCTGCTGAAAATTTAGCGCTGAAATGAGGCACACGCGATCCCTCAAGGTACCCACGTCCCTCTTGTCATATCATAGTCGCAGCTGGATCAAGCTGCTCCAATGAACCCCCCACCACTTAACGCAGCGGGAGAGCATGCAGATCAGTGCTGGAATTCAGATCAGTGGAACACAACAGAAACAATGGCATGCTCTTAGTCCTTCCACAGATCTAATTCTAGATTAATAGATGTTAAGCCCAGAAGGGACTATTAGATCATCTAGTCTGACCCCCAGTATCACACAGGACAGAGAATTTAATCTAGTTACTACTGTATTGAGCCGAATACCTGTGTTTTGAATAAGGCATATTACTGAAGGGTATCTGGTCTTACCAAAGACTTCAAGGGATAAAGAATCCACCACTTCCACTGGTAGTTTGTTATCCTTTGCACTGCCCTTTCTCACCCATTCCAAGTGGCTATGAACCTCTCCAGGGGGGCAGAGAGTTAAGACTGCATCGTGGGGGTGGCGTCTGCCATAACTTAGTATTTTCTGGTTTTCAGAAATTGAAGTTAGCCGCTCTCCACATTCTGGAAGGGCACAAGGCACCACTGGGCAAACTTGACTTTGTCTTAAGGAAGTTTGGAGGCATGTAATTAGCTATGCAATGCAATACAGTAGCAAGTGAGGCCAATGCAGTTTTAGGTTTCCTATACAGAAACATCGTGTCATAGATAAGAAGTAGCCCCCCTCTCACTGTGTGAATCTGAAGTATCCATACCTGCAACAATACATTCAGTTCTGCCTCTTTATAGAAGGGCATAGATGAGAAACTGGAAGTGTATCACATTATAAGAAGAATGATTAGGGACCCAGAGGGAGAGACTGATGAGGAAAGATTAAAAGAATGAAGTGTGTATAAGTTCGCTGAGCAATGGCTGAGGGGAGGGGGTAGAGACGGTATAAACACCTACAAACCTGGGGTGAATGTGCCAAGGGAGGAATTATTTGGTGGGGTACTAGGGAGCATAAAGATGTCTTTGGCTAAGGAATAGTCTCCCAAAGGAAAGGAGGGAAAGCCCTGTGGCCTGAGAGATTTAAAACTAGACTTGGACAAACCCATGGAAAATACAGCCTAGGGAGGTAGTCCTGCATGAGATGCCATGGAATGGACTAGATGTCCTCCTAGGTTCTCTTGCTCTCTGATTCTACGAACAGCCTTCGGTCAGTGCCAAAACCAGGCCTGATTTGAAGCAGTGACCTGTGAGGGCCTGGAAAGTACGGTATTCCCATTAACAAGCCTCTCAGCTAGCCAGTCTTCCTTTCAGAGTCCCTGCTCCAACATGGTTGAAATCAAACTATTTCTAGCTGGCCAGTCCCGTAGTACGTAAAAACCATCCCGAGACGGCTCTCATAACTACCCACTCTCCATCTTGATTCCCGCCTCCCCTTTGCCTTTCCAGGTTCGACTAGCGCTGATGCATGCGGAGTATTTTATGAACAACGTTAAAATGCACGACTATGTAAAGGACAGTGAGGAATGCAAGCCTGTCATCATAAATGCACTGAAAGCCATGTATGATCTCAACATGAACGGCCCCTCAAGTTCCGATTTCACCAACCCGCTCACGAGGCCTCGCCTGCCCTATGCAATTTTGTTTGCTATTGGTGGATGGAGCGGGGGTAGCCCAACCAATGCCATTGAAACGTACGACGCCCGGGCAGACAGATGGGTGAATGTCACATGTCAGCAGGAAAGCCCCCGTGCTTACCACGGTGCTGCCTATTTAAAAGGTTACGTCTATATCATTGGAGGATTCGACAGTGTGGACTATTTTAATAGCGTCAAACGGTTTGACCCACTTAAGAAAACATGGCACCAGGTTGCTCCCATGCACTCGAGACGCTGCTACGTGAGCGTCACCGTTCTTAACAACTTCATCTACGCCATGGGAGGGTTCGACGGCTACGTGCGGCTCAACACAGCAGAACGATACGAGCCAGAGACAAACCAGTGGACGCTGATTGCACCCATGCACGAACAGAGAAGCGACGCGAGCGCCACCACGCTGTATGGAAAGGTAAAAAGGACTTGAGCTTACGGAATGCAGCTGCTGCCTCTGGTGAGCAAGAGAGCAGGACTGGTACCAAACCGCCGTCTGTAGTGTTAAACGGTGCATGTTATAATAGTCGCCTCTAGAATCACCGGGATTTATTGGAACGCAGAAAGAACCGACGCCAGCACACACGTCCTGAAAAAAAAAAAAAAAAGATCAAATACATCTTAACACTAAGGCCTGGTCTACACCTAAAGCTTAGGTCGACCCAGAAATGTCGCTCAGGGGTGTGGAAAATGCACACTTCCGAGAGACGTGGTTAAGCCGATCTAAGCTGCGGCACAGAGACCGCTAGATCCATGGAAGAATTCTTCCATCGGTGTAGCTGCCGCCTCTCGAGGGGGTGGAGTAACTGCTGGGATGGAAAAAACCCCTTCTGTTGCTGTAGCAAATGTCTATACTACACGGCTGCAGCAGCACACCTGCAGTGCTGTACGTGTGCTGCTGTGGTGTCTGTGGTGTAGACGAGCCCTAAGATACAGCACCATAGATTGATGGAGGTGCTGTCTGCGCCGATAAGTACAATAGCCTGGACATGCATTACTCTTTGCATTAGGGTAGGGGCTAAGCTCAGCTGAGGGCCCCATTGTGCTAAGCACCTACAGTTGACAGGCTCCATGGATAAGGCAAAGGGGGGAAGGGGAAGCAAGAGGCATGTAAAGGGGAAGTGGCTCCTAGTCCAGAGCAAAATTCAGCTTTTGAGCTACAGCTGTTGATTTCAGGAGTTGTAGAGACGTGGTCTGGAGACACAAATTGGCCAGCGCTTGTTAATCTTTTTTCATAAGCGTCTCCAATTACAAACTTTGGAAAAATACAAACGTAAGCATTAAAAGGAAACAGGAGCAAAGGTACCTTTTGTAGCCGCTCCCCTTCTCTGAATGTAGCTGATGAAATCAGTGTCCCAGGACTGATGTGAGCACTCCCACGGACGCCGAGGTGTGGTTAGGAGGCCCAAAGCTAGTAGATGGGAGAGAGACTTACTCCACATGTGCTAATTAATATTGATTAATATTTGATATCTGATTAATATTTTTTCCTGTTATAGAGCTATGCTTGCAAAAATCTGTCAGAGCAAGAACTGCTCACACAATTGTAGAGCAATTTTAGATGCAAAAATATTTTTTATTTGGTATATTTGCTAGAAGCAGGCATGTGGCAAGATGATTTTTTAAAAATTAATCTGTAGAAGTTAAATGTTTTCAGGGTTTAAAAAAAAGTGGAAATGCAGCAGCTCAGGATCCTAGAGGCCGGCGTAGTACTGAGTCCGCGTGTAACAGAGCAGGGGACACTAGGAATCAGGAATGCTGGGGCTGTAATTCAACTCTTCCATTGATTCAGCGGCACGTCACCAGTCTGTTTTTCCCAGTTATGGCAGGCCCTTGGAGGGGGAGAGGAGGCCTGTGAAGTATATTTGTGACGTGCTTTGCAAATCCTGCTGAAAGGAGCTGTAGCAGTGGCAAGTGTAACAGACACGCCCACTGGACTGGTGATCAATTTACCAGTCAATCTGTCGCTCTTCACTTCCCAACTTACCCTTTAGACTCTGGTACGACAGACCTTGGGCTGTCCAAGAACAGAAGGGCACGAACATAAGAATGTGGAGAAGATTAGAATAGGGGACTGCAACCTCTTACTCAGCTAGAGCAGGGGTTCTCAGCCTTTCGTACTGGTGACCCCTTTCACAGAGCAAGCCTCTGAGTGCAACGCCCCTTATCAATTAAAACCATGTTTTTATATATTTAACACCATTATAAATGCTGGAGGCAAAGCGGGGTTTAGGTTGACAGCTCGCGACTCCCAGGTAATAATTTCACAACCCCCTGAGGAGTCCCGACCCCTTGAGCTAGGGGATTCCTAGTACTTCTATAGAACTCCCATCTCAGGAAACAGAAGTCCAAACTCAGTTCCCCCGTGGTCGATCACTGCACTTGCATTAACCCTGGCCCAGGAAAAGAGGCTATTCCAAAACAGGATAGGATCATTTCATTTCCCCCCCACAAATAGAAATATTGTAATCTTTTTAAAACAGGTCTATATATGTGGTGGGTTCAATGGAAATGAATGCCTATTCACAGCTGAAGCATATGATGCTAAGACAAACCAGTGGACGCTAATCGCACCAATGAGAAGCAGAAGAAGTGGAATAGGAGTAATAGCTTACGGAGAACACGTCTATGCGGTAAGGTGACAGCTGTCAGCTTTCATTATGGTGGATGTATGTGTGGCTTTCACTCTAGTTAAAGTGCTGGAGCAGTGCTCATACATTTCATTCACTCTCTGTCTACAGGTCACATTTCAAGAGGCAAGGTTGAGCGAAAAAGAATCAACCACTTATTGAAAAGGGGCAGAATAAAATGCATTTTTCCTTCATTTAAAATATAAAACATAAGAACGGCCAGACTGGGTCAGACCAAAGGTCCGTCTAGCCCAGTGTCCTGTCCTCCGACAGTGGCCAATGCCAGGTGCCCCAGAGGGGATGAACAGAGCAGGGAATCATCAAGTGATCCACCCCTGTTGCCCATTCCCAGCTTCTGGCAAACAGAGGATAGGGCCACCATCCCTGCCCATCCGGGCTAACAGCCATTGATGATCCTCCATGAACTTATCTAGTTCTTTTTTGAACCCTGTAATAGTCTCGGCCTTAACATCCTCTGGCAAGGAGTTCCACAGACTGACTGTGCGTTGTTTGAAAAAATACTTCCTTTTGTTTGTTTTAAACCTGCTGCCTATTAATTTCATTTGGTGACCCCTAGTTCTTGTGTTATGACAAGGAGTAAATAACACTTCCTTATTTACTTTCTCCACACCAGTCATGATTTTATAGACCTCTATCTCCCCCCTTAGTCATCTCTTTTCCAAGCTGAACAGTCCCAGTCTTATTAATCTCTCCTCATATGGCAGCCGCTTCATACCTCTAAAAAAAGTTGTGAAATAATTTTAACAGCTATAGCTTTGAAATAAAGTTTGGCAGAGAATTAGCCCTGATGGAGAAATGTCTTTCATGGTCCTACTGAAGACATTTAACAAGTCCAATACCTTGAGAAATGCAGTTCTTGGATGTTCCCTACTCAGTCTTTATTTTTAACCAGTGTCATGAGCAATAGGCTACCACTGTACACAGGACCGTCCCTAGGAGGGTGTGGGGCCCGGGACAACCCCCCGTGCCCCAGGCCCCACCCCCACTCCACCCCTTCCCCCAAGCCCCCGCTCTGCCCCCATTCCACCAAGCCACTGCCCCACCTCTTTCCAGCTTCCGCCACCTTCCCTGAGCAATACTGGGAGCTGGCGGGGCGGGCTGGGGCCGGGTCGCTCGCTGCTGCCAGCACCAGGCCCCCCGCTAACCCCCCAGGCTGCCCTGGACCCTGTGTCCCAAAGCATGGGGCCCCCCAAAGTGCAGAGTGGTTGCCCTGGTTCATCCTATGGACGGGATGGCTCTGACTGTACATATACAGCATATAGAGGAAAGCTATCTCACCTATGGTGCAGCTGTTAAGGTGGGAATTGAGTGAGGCAGATGCAGTGAACATACAGAAGAACCTCAGAGTTACAAACAGACCAGTCAACCACACACCTCATTTGGAACCGGAAGTACACAATCAGGCAGCAGCAGAGACAAAAAACCCCAAAAAACCAAAGAGCAGTAGAGTACTGTGTTAAACTACTAAAAGAAAAGAAAGGGAAAGCAGCATTTTTCTTCTATATGGTAAAGTTTCAAAGCAGTGTTAAGTCAATGTTCAGTTGTAAACTTTTGAAAGAACCACCATGTTTTGTTAAGAGTTAAGAACTACCTCCATTCCTGAGGTGTCATAACTCTAAGGTTCCTCTTGCTTCAGTGAATGAAGTGTGCACTCATCAGCTCTTCACATTTTCATGGAATAGGGTCTTCTGATTCTCCTTAGGCATTTAGTTCCAGATTAGGACTTTTGCGCTAAGTTATACTCATCCCTTTGTGTACATGCAGTAAGATCAATATCCTCAAATACAATATAAAAGTTTTCCTAAAACCTTAGATGCAGGTGTAGAATGTTGTATACAATGAAGAGGACATTTTTACAACATACCCCAGATGAACAACCTAGAGAAAATGAAAGTTTAGAATATGAACGTCTCCTAAGTTCATAGGTAACTACTCTATTCAGCTGTCTCATTCACCAAAATTTCACCTAAAATAGGCTGCACATAAGCCATGTTTATAGCTCAACTGTTTAACCTCCAGCAACATCTAAGGACTTAATGCCAGCTGAGAAAGGTTGGTACTGACAGTTCTCGAAATAAATACCCAAGAGAATTTATATGAAGTCAGAAAGATAACGGAATATTTTAAACAGGGCGGCATCAATTGTGACAAGAGGCTACACATATCCAAGGTTGTAGAAAACTGAATTGTATTGTGTTTGAGAAATAGTACGATGTAATTTGGAATACTGTTATATGCAAAAGGGGCAAAGTTAAAGTTGCACTTGGAACCTTATTTGTTATTTCCCCACTTTGAACGCTTGACCTCACAACCTTACAATTCTCTTCATGTAGTTTTTAAGTGAATTTTGGATTATTTCTACTTAACTCATATACATCCTGTGCCTTTGCCTCCTTTAGATGTAAGAATGTAAAATTTAACTATTCCAATAAACATTTTTGGCAGTTAGATTTTACCATAACTAGAAAGAACAAAGTAGTAGCCTGCAGTAAGTGAATATGCAGAATTAAGGTCTGATTTTCAGAAGTGCTGAATACTCACACTTCTAGTCAATGAAGCTGAATATGCACAGAATTTGGCCTACTTGAATATGCATGAGTCCTAAACCCATGTAACAATTCAGCCACCTAATATAAGCCCTTCCTCAGCTAGTAAACGCCATATTTCTTTGATGTCTACAGGTAGGAGGCTTTGACGGCGCCAACCGTCTTCGGAGTGCAGAAGCCTACAATCCAGTTGCCAACACCTGGCGTACAATCCCAACCATGTTTAATCCCCGTAGTAATTTTGGCATTGAAGTGGTGGATGACCTTCTGTTTGTGGTGGGTGGCTTTAATGGTTTCACTACCACATTCAATGTTGAATGTTACGATGAAAAGACTGATGAGTGGTATGATGCCCATGACATGAGCATATACCGTAGTGCTTTGAGCTGCTGTGTGGTGCCAGGACTAGCCAATGTTGGGGAGTACGCTGCCAGACGAGACAACTTTATAGGATTATCACAGCGAGATGAAGTCAAATACTCCTCTTCGACAAGTACCCTACCTGTATGAATAGCTCCACCTAGCTAATAAAGTCTTCTAAGCAAGAACTGTATGTATTCACTTTTTAAAATAAAAGCAATTGGATACAAACTCACAGGAATAGTCAGTCCTGGAAATTGTTTCATTCAATGGAGCCAGACATCTATCATTTACAAACATGGGTTACAGTGCTAAACAGTGCATACCTGGCAAAAAAGCATATGGAAGACCACAATAATAGAGAAATAAAAAACTTTTATTACAACAAAACATTAGTACAATGTTTAGTTTCAAGGACTTAAATATTACAATATTCTTTGTTTCAAACAGAAACTCTACTTTACCTTACAGGAAGCAATGTAATTCTTCCCGGTATGGAGGGTACTGCTTATCCAAGCAATTGCAGAAGTGAACAGCTGCCTTATAGGTCATGGGATCCAGAGTGATGTGGATCCATGAGGAATATCTAGGACTTCTAGTTATTTCTACATTTAACATTCATGTACTTTATAGGATTATATCCTCAAGAGTGCTTGTATTAGGAAGCTTCCCCTAAACTGGTTATATTAAAGATGATTATCTTCTATTTGAGAAGTGGCTGAAAATAAAGCTAAGCCATACAAATACACTTATATTAACTGGGTCCTTTACAAACAAGTCTAACACTACAGTATACTATTGTAATTTCAGGTCAAAAGGCCCTTAAACTTTGTTAATCTGCACAATGCAGTCTGCCTCTAGTAAACTTAAATATACATTGACGCAATAGTCCTGTTATTTTATTGTTTACTGTAATGGAAAAATAATTTGGGGATAACATCAATAAGCAGTAGCAGAGAATACTTAGTGCATTTAAAAAGATGGCATATATTCTATATGTTTGGGGTGGTGTCTCTCTAACTTTGTGCAGAGAAGTATTAAAAATACATACAAAACATTTACTTACTAATAGACCATTCAGGTTGTTATAAAATACTATGTACACATATGGCACCTAAAAAATGATTACATTGCCAGTCTAGCTGGTCAGAGGTTTACGCTACTTCACTAATATTTTGAACAGAAAGATAGGACATAGAACATGCATTTCATGGCATGTGTTTAGTACAGCAAAAAAAGATACGATTGTCTTAAACAGCAGAATAGTCTGAATATTCTACCTGATTTTTTTCTTAATGAAAGACAAAGATAGGAGTCAGTTTAGTTATCCTTATTGGATATAGGTGTAAGATTCTTGTTAGTTTAACTACCCTGCTGTAACTATAGCTGAAGAGTGTACATGTACCACTACACTACGCCAATCAAGGGCCACAAGGAACTTGTTAAATGGCTGACAGGTTAGTGGACTGAGCTAGATCCACAGTCAACACACATTTAAGTTTTCTACATCTTATAACTACTACTTTGTGTACAATGGGCAGTTAGACTTTTTGTTTAAAAACATGTGCGCAGATGCCATTGAGCCACATAAGTTCAATGTAAAAAAACCTATTTAAAAATGAAGAGGTCCCCTGGAACTGGCATAAAAAAAAAGACTGCTGTGAAATTGACTACGCTCCATAGTGCCCATCACTCATCATGCAAACTGAACACACTGGAAGGGAGATAAAGTGCATCACACGATAAACCAGGGCTGGCATTCACAAGTTAGACCACCCGGGCATGAAGTTATTTTTACATCTTCATTTAAGAATCTTAAGATCTCTAAGATGTACAAAAGCCAAGTTATTTCATGGTAAGGGCTATTATTAATTTTTGTTATAACCAAACAAGATCATGCTTGTGCATCCGCTGGCCTAGGTTGATCTATGGTGATATGCAACCCAAAGATTTTGTTTAGATTGCAATTAAAATATGATAATCGTGATATTTTACAACCAAATGCTCTATCAGTGCTGTTGATAAACTACATTCATCAGCACCTTGCCAAATGAGTTCATGCAGGTCTTTCAGAGCCAACAACTTCTGGATGTCAGCCTTGAACTTGATTTCCCCTCTTGAACAGGTGAGGCCTGCGCCTTGCAAATTTTGACCTGCCCGCTTGCTCTTGCAGCGTAATTCGAAAGCCAAGTAAAATCCAACATGATGGTATTAGCACATGATTAGACTGTATCTAAGTTGTTACATTTTCATAGTAATTTTTACAAGCCTGGATTAGTCTGAATATTACAGCAAGGCAAGTTAATGATACAGAAAATGTCAAGTGAATTTCAAGAGGAAATATTAAGGGTCATATGCAAGTCAGAAAAACCTGTACACATCATGCAGTTGAAAGACTTACCTAGTATTTCAGACATGATCTAGACTGCCTGCTGAATTGGAAAACGAGACGCGTCAGTTCAGAAAGTTAAACTTTTAAAAAGCGTAAAATGTTTAGAAGAGCTTTCCAAAATTACCTGCCCCCATTTAAGATGACCATAAAACGAACAAGAGAAAGTAAGCAGCTTTCTCAGCAATGGTCGATTGTGTGGATGTTTGGGATACCCTTGTTACTACTCCTTGCCTCTCCCTAAGATCCCGAGTTAGGCCTACAGTGGAAATAATCCAAACAGTTAAATAAAGAGGAGGTAGAAAGGACAATGGAATTCACAAGAAATAATTGAGAAACTTTTGCGATGAGAATAAGGGGAGAGGGCTTAGCTGGATGGTTACTTCTGGGCAATGATACTTCCATGGGGCAATGTGTTGGATATTTCCCTTAGAGAATATTGTATTAAGTAATCTAGAACCAACATGGCCCTATTCATAAAACAATCTCAGATGTCAAAAAATTAAATAGCTTAATTTCACCCCAACCGTCTATAAATGCTGCAAACAGAATAAATGGAGAATTCAAACATTTGAAGACTGTGCAGGCTTAAGATCACTAAGAGCTTCTTATTGGCAATTAGATTTCAAGAACTGATTGTTCCACTTCAACAGAAACACAAGTGCTAATTTGTCAGGGAAGAGTGGCGCTGCTACTCTTAAGTTTATAGAGGAAAATATATCGATGGCAAAAAAGTATTGATTGTCAAAGGCAGGCTGGATACAGGTTCATTTTTCAAACTCTTACTGGAATTAAATGTGTGCCATGTTCGGAAAAAACCTTCAAGTAGCTCCGTTTTTAATATCCCGCTAGGAAATAATTTTGCTTTTAGTAATCCCTAATGTCCTCAGATATTTTAGAAGTGGACAGTTACTTTTTTACTGTTAACATTTTTACTGTTTTCACTCATTTAATCAGGTTGATTGTTTGTCTAAGTTTCTAATCAAGCTGACAAAGAAGAGACCCAGAAACATGAAGGATGTCCAGATAGTGAAATCATCCCAAGTGCTGTCTCAAATGCCATTTTAGTAAGTCTCTGATGTTTTACCAATCACTTGTTACAAGTAAACTCTGGCATTTCTACAATATACAGAAACAAAGTATTTAACACACAGAGAAACCTCCTGAAGTAATTTTATGAAAAAAGATTGTGCTTTTATTTTTATATAACAGGTATTCCTAACTATTGCATGTGCCTTCAGTTTTGGAGAACTAAGTGCACGGATGCCAATGGTATGTGAATTTCAGCTACTCAGGAGAAGAGAAGCTAAAGGAATATCAATATGTAAGTGCAAATAAAATTGGTGCTTTAAGAATACAGCTGGAGTTTGTTTTTTAAATTGAAGGAATTGTTGACAGACTAACTCCATATAAATCCTTGAAAATGAGGGTTGGACAAGAGAATTAACAGATTCTGCATCAAATTTTCTTAAAGTGTCAGGCATTTCATCACATCCCCTTAATAGGAATTTAGTTTTCCTGGGCTACTGTATGCTCTTCTCAATGATATACAAGAGAGAGGGATTTTAGGTGTTTGTTAACTATTTCCCATCCTCAGTATTTAAGTAAAGATGTTACTTTTATGCATCAAACCAGCAACCAGTTCAGTTATCCAAATCCTAATATACGATGGCAATGTATTGAGCCTTACAAAATAGATAGCACCGTATTTCTTAAACCAGGTTTATTAGAGGAATGGTCTTCCAGGAATTAGCACTCAATCTGTGAGCGAGGCATTCTTCGCAAGCTTAAAGAATGCCGATGTATTTCCTGCAGCTGCCGTATTCTATCCTTCTGCCACATCAAATTTTGCGGCATAGGGTATCTTTGTGTACCATGTAAGCATCTGAATGGGATTCTTACATGGCAGGCTGTTGCTCTACAGCGAGGCTGCGGCATGGGAGGGAGAAGCATCCATCGCTTTCTCTCAGCACAATAACGGTAGGCCTCTTTTCTGTATTGCTTATCTATATCATCACTGTTCTTCCACCCACCAATGATGAAAACATCATCTTTAAAATAGCAAATGGCCGCCCCTTCAATGCTAAGAACTTCTGGAGGTAAACTTTCAAGAATCTCTTCTGGTATTCTGCCAGAGATCTTTCTCTTAGCCTCTTCATTATCTATGGGGTAACTCTTGGGGCAGCATGATGCTGTCTGGTAAAAGTTTGTGTTGGCAACAGACATCTGAAAAGAGCAGTAGTTATCAATGAGTGGCAGAGATTCGATGTCTTGCCAGTGCCTTGTCTCCGTGTCATATCTGGTAATGACTGCCCTTAAACCATCTTCACTATCATCAACTGGGGTTCGAGCAGCAATGTAAACAAATCTATCTTCTATGGTGACTGCTTTGACATCACGAAGGATCTTCGGGGCTGACTCCAGGTTGTGCCATTTGTCTTGCTCGGGATTGTAAATGGTTACATCTTTAAAGCCAGGACTGAAGTTACCATGTCCACCAATACTGTACAAGTTCCCCTTGACTTCAGTGAGGCCAAAAGAATGCTTTCTGGTTATTAGATGAGAGACTTGCTCCCAGACATTTCTGTTGGGGTTGTACTTTTCTACAGTCTTGGCAAAGCCAGGTTCCATGGAGCCAGCCACATAAACATATGATTCTGTAACAGCAACAGCATGTCCATCAAGGTGATTATGTATGTGAGGTAAGTTTACCCACCTATCTTCATCAATGAAATACCCCACACACTCACTTAAATAATCCCCTCCCTCTGACACACCACCGATCACCATGATGACATCCATGTTCTGCCCATAGCGAGGCAGCAATGCTACAGGATAAGCAGAATGTTGTAAATTACCAGACTGCAAGTTCTCAGCCCTCAGGGCATGATTTTCCACAGCTTCAGACACTAATTTAAGACAGGCTTCATTACTGGATACTAGCCTTTCAGATTTGACATGCCGGGTAAGGTAAGTGGGTTTCATCTGAGACAGTCTGAGCAGTTTAAAGAGTTCTTCAAAGTACCTCTCTCTTTCGTCAGCGTTTCTCTGAACCCACTTTAACACAGTCTCAAAAAGAACTTCTTCAGAGTCCACTGTGATTTCCAAGTCTGAAAGCCAGTCTCTGATGAGGTGAAAGGGTAATGTGTAGAACTCTTCATCTTGGATAACTTTGCAGAAGTTCCTTCTTATCATGTCTGCGGCTTTCAGGGCAAGCTGGTTCAAGGAATACATATGAGCTAAGCTATGAATAGCCACACAGTTGGAGAGATTCAGTTTTTTCTTCAGAAACTCTCCACAGAATTCCTTTAACCGCATCAATAAAAACCTGAAGAGCAAACAAAGATGAGTTAAGACATGAACTGAGGGGAGTGAGGTTAAATCCAATCATATATCTTTAACAAAAATGTGTTTATACTGCACAACAGCCAAGTTCCTGATGTACTTTAGGAAGTCAATGTTACATAATTGTTCTTTTAACAGCTCCCTTTAGCCATCTTGTAGCCTACAGATACATTCAAGGACCGCAAGCCAAATTGCAATACTGGCTCTGTTTACTAGGTATATTAACCGCTGATGGAATGGGGGCACCTATTAGATCAGTGCATTTAAGTTCAGATGCCTCCAACTAGTCCACTGTAACCTCTAGTGAATTATCCCCTAAGGGAGATGAATTTGGTATGTCCAATCTCCAGGGTGCAGCTCAGGGAAGCTCTTTGGAGGTTAGGAATGCTGTGCATGACGTGTGCCCCCTCCCTGAAGGGAAGCTTTGATCCCTTCATCTTCAGAGAATTCAGGAGCTGTAAAATTTGGCTAATTACGAGGGTACAGAGATGAGAATATGGGATAACATGATCCTGCTCCTATAGGAAGGACATAGGACTCAGGAGAGCATGCCACTGCTCCACCCCCACTACTGGTCATCCCTTCACATCTCCCCTGCCAGCTCCAGCATCCTCCCCCCCATTCCAATGTAACCACTTTATGAGTAGCTGCTGTCCTCCAAACTCCCTGTCTTGCCCACCACCTCCAACCCACTATTTCTGCACTTCACTTACTAGCCACCTCCATCACCTTCTCTCCCTTGCCCCTTCACCTGCGCGCCTGTACTACACCAGCTTTTACCTTTCTCCACTCCGCCTCCCTGCCACCTCACCTGTCTCCCCCCCCCACCCACCACTCTAGCTACAAACAAACCAGACCACTGACTAGGGTGACAGATTTAGCCTGGCCACCCCAAATTTGAGTGCCGCCCCATGCTGCACTAGATCAAAACGCCACTCATTGAAATTTGGCGCAGCCACCCCTTCATCTGACAGTGAAATGGCCAGGCCAAGTCTACCACAGGCCTATGGGGAGGGGGGATGGCAACACACTGAAGTTTTATGGGGGGCGGGGGGTGGGAGGGAAGATTGCCTTGGGCAGCCTCTAGCCAATCTCTTCCCTCCATTCACTTGTCAGCCGCCACCTCCTTCCCCGCGCCCCTCATCTGTGGGCCACCTCGGCCTACCCCAGCCCCGCCCACCTCAGCCCCCGGCGCCTGCACTTCCCCCCTGCCTCCCCCACCTTCTGCCCTGTCCCTCCCCTCACCTGTCAGCCACCCTGGCCCACCTCCACCTCCTGCCCTCCCCGTCACCTCTCGGCTACCACGGACCACCTCCTCACTTGTCGGCTACCCCGGCCCACCCCTGCCCTCCCCCCCGCCCCAGGCCCGCCCCACCTCCCGCCCCCCCCCCCCCCCCCCCCCGCCCCAGGCCCGCCCCCTCACCTGTCGGCTACCCCGCCCCCTCCCACCTCCGGCCCGCCCCCTCACCTGTCGGCCATCTCCAGCACCTCGTGCACGTTGCCCGGGCTGACGCGGATGCTGCCCGTGTACATGAAGCCGACCACCGCCTCCACCGTGTCCGGCTCGGGCCCCCCCTCCGAGCTCCACTTCCGCAGCTCCACCCGGCCGGAGCGCGACTCGGCGAAGCCGCCCGACAGCAGCGGGGTGAAGTAGTCGGTGGCGGCGGCCAGCACGGAGCGGTGGGCGCGGACCTCGCGCAGCGGCCCGGCGCCGCCCCCGAAGGCCAGGGTGATGTCGCAGAAGAGGTCGCGGCGGCGCTGCTCGTTCTGCCGCCAGGCCAGCTCGCTGCAGTGCGCCGGGCACGCGAACTCCTCCGCCTCCGGCTCCCCGCCGCCGCCGGGCCCCTCCGCGCCCGGGCCGCCGCCGCCGGCCCCCTCCGGGCCCGCCTCTCCCGCGCCTTCCCCCGCGGGGCCGGGCTGCGTCTGAGGCGAGGCCGCGGCGGCCGCCGCCATCTTGCCCGCTAGCCAACGGCTCCCAGGGGCGCCGCCGGAAGGACGTCACTGAACGTGCGCGCAGCCCGACAAGCGGCGGTGGCGCGCGCGCGCGCGCGCCGCCTCACGCGGGCGGTCAGCGGCACGCTGACGGGGGAGGAGCTCTACGCGGGAAAGCGGCGGGCTCGGCTCCGCCCCCTCCTCGCTTTCTCCTCAGGGAGTTCTAGAAGCAGGGAGCGAGAAGAGGCGGGGTCCGCCGGTTCGAATCCCGCTGGGGACTCGGGCGGGGGGGGATGCGCGCGCATGTCCTCTTGCCTCAGTTTCCCTCTGTGTAAAAGGGCGCTAAGTAGGTTGGAGGTGTGTGGCTTTGCCTCACTGGCACGAGGAAGGGGCAGATTCAGGTAGCGTGGTGGGAGCGGACAGCATCCCCCCAGGTCTCCTTGGTGGAGGGCAGCCAGGCGCTGCCCACCCTCAGTGGCTCCTGTCACGGCAGGGGCCCCTCTCCCCCATTTCTGAGCCAGCAGGTCCCTCCCACTGAGCATCCCGCCCAACCCTCCTACCCCACGATGGGGGGTGGGCTCCAGCCCTCCCCCTTGGCAGCAGGCCCGTGGGCCTCCCCTGGACCAGGCCCGTGGGGCTGGCGCGCCTGAGGAAAGTCACGCTGGGGCCCTGCTCTGCTCCCCGGCATCCTCCCTGCTGGAGACACAAGCAACAGAGGCAGGTAGGACTGCGCCTTCGGCGCACTGGGCTCTGGCTGCATGGGGGGCTGGACAGCGAGGGCAAGGGGGCAGGCTGGTGGGGGCCGAGGCTCTGGGCTAAGGGCAGCAGAGATCCTAGGGCTGGCTGGGATAGGATAGCCTCGTCAGTCCAGACACATCACTTCTCTTGCACCTGGAACCTCTCCCACCTGCAATACGCAGGCTGCAGGCAAGTGGCACGGGGCTTGGTTTATTAGAATCCATTGTGTCACCTCTGAAGTAATATTACAAAAGATACATCCAGCCGAAGTGTGATTTGATAGAGGTTCCCAAATAGGGAGACCTGTCTTACAGTGTGTATCCCATTGCTGGGGAATCCAGTTGTGTAGACAGCACTTGCTGTATCTGTGCCAAATGCTACCTACCTACGGTACCCACCGGTCAAAGCTCAAGTATACCTTTACCCATAATCTCATGCAGCCTATCAAGCCCGAGGGAAGTTTTGAACCATATTCTCCTCATTTCAATTTCTCTCTCTCTCTCTTCGTTGGGGAATTTTGCAGCATAGGGTCTTTACTAGGATGGCACAAGGCATTACTAATTTTTCTGTCTTCAGGATGTACTTTATTTATAGTGCAGGTGAGTTGAGAGTTTACTTTTGTCACCATGATTCAATCAACTACAGCTCATCTTACTCTAAATGACTTTAGACATTGGGATTATTAATGCAATACGATATAGCACCCCAACTTTCATGCAGTGTTACTGGAGCATTTATACATATTAAGTCCCTTAATTAAGCAAACTGCAGAAAGGTATGTTGACCTTTTCCCCCTTGCATCTTAACTCATGCTGTAAGATCTTGCCCATTTCTGCCAAGTTTATCCAGGTACTTATATATTGTCCCCAGTAGCTTATCTCATACACATGACAAAAAACTGCTATGATTTTGACCATTTGCTGCTACACATTAAGGCCTAAACTTTCAGAAGTGGCTACTGATTTGGGGTGCCCAATTGGAGACACTGAGGGCCTGATCTTCAGAAGGAAAACCCGAAGAAAGAGAGTAGACATAGATCTGCAGAATGCAGGTTACTCAGTGTTTTAAAGTATTCTATTTCCCTGTGTAAAGTAAGATTCAGTACAAACAAATCTCAAGGTGCCAGCACTGAAAATATACAAAATCCAGCTAAAAATGATTAATGTATTGTTTATTTAAGTTAGGTTACAATAATATAGAGACAAGTAGGATTATTATAGCAACTATAATTAATGATAATGTAGGGGGCCAGCGATTCCTGTAAGTAATGTGGTGGCCGTGTAAATATAGAAAATGCAATACAGGTAGTTTCACAGTTTTACCAAGAGTATATGTTACAACTTTACATTTTAAATTACTACACCAAAGTTTGAATGGCATTGGCTATATCAGCAGTGGTCCCACTACATAGGATATTATTGGGCGGTAGAGTAAACACAGAGCAAACAAAGCTGAAAAACAACCTACGAGAGAACCCCAACCCAGAGCTGATGGGTAACAATATTCTTCAGGTTTTGGTTCCTCCTTTTGTCAGGAAGGTTACAACTTATTTTCAAGCTAACATGTCTAGTTCTTCAAGTCAAAAGCAGCTGTGTCCATGAGCAAAAAACAACCCCCCCTCCCATCTTAAAATCTTGTCAGAACACACACAAAATAAAACGAGTAGAAAAATTAAAAGAGGCTGGGGAGAAGAGACAAAGTTCAACTGCTTCCAAGCATGAAATACAGCAGGTAGCATATGGAATCTCACACTTTTGGTTTTATTTGCATCAGTTTCTATGCTTATAGAACAGCTGCTTTGCACAGTAGTTCTTGATTTCTATAAACCTATGGCCTTTACATTTAAGTCCCATATGTAACGGTCTTCCATGCAGGCGACTTGCTTCTCTGTTTTGAAGCAATGCTACTGGCTATCACATGGTCATGTGCTCTGGTAGAACATAGGAGATGTCATCCCACGGGTGACGGTACAGACCTTGTTTCAGCCTCTTCTGATCCAGGTAGTGTCCTAAAATGAAAGTGATTTTTACATGCAGCAATCCAAGTTTCCATTCCTCCCAGACTGACCTTGCCTTGAAACTTGTTAGGTCCCTTCCTGGCCCCACAAATGATCATTATATCCTGAAGCATGAGATCCAGTTACTCCTATTTTAAGGCATGACTACAAGCTCCAGGGGGGTGGGTGAGAATCCTAACTATTGTTCAAAAGTTACCCATTCAGGAGCTCTAACAACCCAGCAGATTCTCCTGGGCTGGGAGTGTGGCTGATGCACCACATGCAGTCAGGACTGGTGTGAAGAATTAAGGGGTTGGTATGAGCTGTCTTTTGGTGGTGATGATGGGGAACATCACAATAATAGGGCTTTTGGGTGCATGTGAAACTTACCAATGAACCCCATACTTCTGCCAAGCACGAAGATGCCATTGAGGGCTCCAATGTCGATATATTCATCTGCTTCTTCCCTGCAATAAAAGCCAAACAATTCTTGGGAACAGGGTGCTTGGTACAGTGGCTCCCAGAGCAGCTCTAAACCACCCCCAATACAAATTCAAGGCCCAGTTCTCCTGGAAATCTTCCCCTCGCAGAGAGACCAGGCTTCTGCAGGGTGCCGTGCCTTGCAAACGTCAGATGAACTTCTGGCCCCATTGGATGGCAGTGGGGAAACTCGCATCACATTAATGGCATCAGGATTGTACCCTCTCCCCCCAACTTCATACAGCAGCTAGAGAAGATATGTCAGTGTTTACCGGGTGAAGGAGCCACAGTTCCTGAGCACATCAACAAAGGCGACTCCAATAAAGCCATCCACATTCAGGATAAGATTTGGTTTCTGAAGAAAGTGAAAAATGTTAACTGCTAGTAACTCGCACTCATCCGGCAACTTTCATCACAAAGGGCCTTAGGATGCTTTAGAGCATTGGTTCTCAAAGTTCTGTACTGGTGACCCCTTTCACATCGCAAGCCTCTGAGTGTGACCCTCCCTTATAAATTAAAAACACTTTTTTATACATTTAACACCCTTATAAATGCTGGAGGCAAAGTGGGATTTGGGGTGGAGGCTGACAGCTTGTGACCCCCCCCATGCAATAACCTTGTGACCCCCCGAGGGGTCCCGACACCCAGTTTGAGAACCCCTGCTTTAGAGGCTGCATGCAATAAGGGACACCCAAACTTTGTAACGCAGAGGTCTAGTCTGTCAATCTGAATGATGGGGACTCCCCCCTCATCATCTGCATGCGGCTCTACCCAGTTCAAGGTGGACTTCTGCCGGGACCCAGCATCTCTGCAGACTACACCTCCTTATTAAATGAGGAGCGCAGTCACAGGCTACTCTGTAGCATGCTGTGGGCTATCATTGGCTGGCAGTTTGGCCTCTCCTGGTGTATAAGGCTCACTTCAGCTACAGCATAACCTGTAGCTGTGCCTGTCTCCAAGCTGGTGCTGTGTCTCTCTGGTTTTTATTAGCACCAATGCATTACTCCCTCTCCAGTTAAAACACAGAAACAAAACTCCAGCAATGACCCCAAAAGATTATTTTCTTCAAGGTAATAGAGAACAAAAATGCAGTGGGGGTGTTTTACCTTGGAAGTTGTAATTTTTTCTACTTCAAGTGCATAGTCCAGTAGTGGGGTAGCAGGAAAATGCTGCTTCACGTAGTCCTTGAGAATTTGAACTCTCATATCTGGGTTATTTATCTGCACGTTTAAGAACACATTATATTATTTGCAGTAACAGCCAGACACGCATGTAAGAGTGCACATCTTACTGTACCTATCAACTCAAATAAACCCTTTGTTTGAAGCCAAGGTAATTAAATTTTGTCCTTATAGGGCTTTTTTTTTTTTTTTAAATGAAATGTACTCAATTTAGAAATTTAGTTTTAAGTTTGTAAGGCCTGTGAATGGAGAAGACCAAAAACTGAACTGTAAGAGATGAAAAATGTTAAGGGCTGTCAAAGTAACTGCTTAAACAATGCTGAACTGCTCTCTCTACTGATGACATATCACCCGAGTATCCAAAGGCCACTTAACATACGTGTGTCAGTGATTTATTTTAAGGATTAGTCCAGAAACCACTTCTAAAAGTTGCCATCCTTCCTCCACTTGCTTTTTCTTCTATTCATTTTCCTCTCCCATTGAAGAAAGCCCTACTAAAACAAGGTAAGTTACTTACTGATTTGACCCTGTGTCCAATGCCCATGATCAGTTTCCCTTCTTTCTTCATCTTGTTGACGAACTCCATAGGGATAATACCACTGTCAAAGGCCTTACTGAACATCTTAGCTGCGGCATCCAGCGCACCACCAAATCGGTCTCCCTGTGCCCAGCATACATAAGTTGAACTCCAGCAAAGATTTCTACAGTAGCATGTTACAATAGGTGCATGAACAAGATCCCTTCTCCCACAGCACCCCCCATCCCCACAACAGGGACATTGTGAAAACAGGATTAGACTATGCAGGAGTCCGAGATAAAGAGCCAGCTGGGATTCATTGAACAACTGTAAACAACAACTAGAGATGTGACCTACTACCTCTAGGGACAAAAAGGCAAATAAGATTAAAAGGCCCATTTAATTCTTGGTCACTTCTGAGGTTATGTCTACACTACCGTGGGATCAACACTCCAGCGATAGATGCACCCAGGGTCAATTTAGTGAGTCTAGTGAAGACCCGCTAAATCGATGGCACAGCGTTCTCCGGTTGACCCCGGTACTCCGCCAGGAACGAGAGGAGTAAGGTAAGTCGACGGGAGAGTGTCTCCCGGTGACCCAGCGCGGTGTAGACACCGCAGTAAGTCAACCTAAGCTATATCGACTCCAACTACGTTATTCACATAGCTGGAGTTGCCTAACTTACGTCAATTTACCACAGTAGTGTAGACATAGCCTGAGACTCCCAATAAAAAGGGGCCAGTTAGTGCTAATAGTGATGGTATTTTTTGTGATGTAGACAAAAAATACAAAACAAACCTAGACCCAAACCCATTTCACATAAAGGAATGTCAAACAGCGGTCACTTTTTGGTCACTACCCTTCTGGGGTTGGATTTAAACCAGTGGAAAGGCATAACGAGTGGGGTTCCGCAGGGGTCTGTTTTGGGACCGGCTCTGTTCAATATCTTCATTAACGACTTAGATATTGGGATAGAAAGTACGATTATTAAGTTTGCGGATGATACCAAACTGGGAGGGATTGCAACTGCTTTGGAGGACAGGGTCATAATTCAAAATGATCTGGACAAATTGGAGAAATGGTCTGAGTTAAACAGGATGAAGTTTAACAAAGACAAATGCAAAGTGCTCCACTTAGGAAGAAAAAATCAGTTTCACACATACAGAATGGGAAGAGACTGTCTAGGAAGGAGTACGGCAGAAAGGGATCTAGGGGTTATAGTGGACCACAAGCTAAATATGAGTCAACAGTGTGATGCTGTTGCAAAAAAAGCAAACGTGATTCTGGGATGTATTAACAGGTGTGTTGTGAGCAAGACACGAGAAGTCATTCTTCCGCTCTACTCTGCTCTGGTTAGGCCTCAGCTGGAGTATTGTGTCCAGTTCTGGGCACCGCATTTCAAGAAAGATGTGGAGAAATTGGAAAGGGTCCAGAGAAGAGCAACAAGAATGATTAAAGGTCTTGAGAACATGACCTATGAAGGAAGGCTGAAAGAATTGGGTTTGTTTAGTTTGGAAAAGAGAAGACTGAGAGGGGACATGATAGCAGTTTTCAGGTATCTAAAAGGGTGTCATAAGGAGGAGGGAGAAAACTTGTTCACCTTAGCCTCTGAGGATAGAACAAGAAGCAATGGGCTTAAACTGCAGCAAGGGAGGTCTAGGTTGGACATTAGGAAAAAGTTCCTAACTGTCAGGGTGGTTAAACACTGGAATAAATTGCCTAGGGAGGTTGTGGAATCTCCATCTCTGGAGATATTTAAGAGTAGGTTAGATAAATGTCTATCAGGGATGGTCTAGACAGTATTTGGTCCTGCCATGCGGGCAGGGGACTGGACTCGATGACCTCTCGAGGTCCCTTCCAGTCCTAGAATCTATGAATCTATGAATCTAGAGATGAAAGGGTCCAATTCACACAGATATTTTCCAGTAGCTCTTAACTTGATCCAGTTTCATTAAATGTATTTCCCCAGCTACTCCTCATTAGTATTGGATTCAACATAAAGCCAATGTTTTAATCAATGACAGAGTAATTAGGGGAGGACAACTGACGAGACAGTAAGCGGGGCTCAGCCTTGTCTATGGCACAGGAGTCATGCCAAGTTCTGACTTGCTGCCAGGTCACTACTGCTACGGAGCGCAAGTAAAAATCGGATTGTATAGTAAGGAGAAAGACAATGTCTCAAATGTTAAATGCTTACAATAGTGAGAAGGCCTGAGGTGAGACTAGAGACCAGGTCTTTCCCAGCTCTTGCACAGACAATGGTGTTGTGGGCTCCCGATACGGCAGGTCCATGATCTGCTGTTACCATCAAACACATCTCAATGAAGTGACAGGCGTACTTTGGTAACCTGGGGGGTGGGGGAGGAGCAGAGAGAGATGGGTGACATTACCTAATAGGAAGAAATCAACATGGACAGACCATGCATCTCTATTTTATACCAGATAATGAGGCTCTCTCCCATCCACGCACTAAAACAAGGGGAGAGCTAGAAAGGAGATGCAGGATCAGACCTAATGTTGGGTCTCAGAGCCCAGAAAGTCTCCCTGAATTATCTGAGACTGCTAGGAAAAAAAGCTGGTTTTATACCTTTGCTTAGTGCACTCAATGCTTTGTACAGTGGTATATTTCTCAGATCGTCTAATGGCTGCAGCGTTCTGGCCATTTGATCAGTGATTTAAACCCAAGGGGAGTGAATGAAACGGACTATGGAATTTCTTTTCCCCCTATGGATAGCTATTTCATTATAGAATTGGCTCTCTGAGCTAAAGCCAAGATTTGAACCCAGGTCTCCACAGCTGAAAGCCAAGTGCATTTAACACCTCTGTGTCACAGAACCCAACCTTACACGCTGATGGAGGCCACCTTGGACATCCACTCATACTAGCATTCACTCAGTGTTAGCTGGGGTTGTCTTGGGTGTGTTGGAACGAAAGAGGAATTCTGTGTAAGAATATTTTATCAAGACTATCTGTTAGTGGATGGTGTTTGAGGGAATTACTGCAAGTAACATCTCCTGCACTGCACAGCAAGGACATGATTTTCAGAGGAGGTTGCAATAAAATGTGCCCAGAAAGACACTTGTTCATACAAATTCAGGTGTCTCGGGGCACCTGTCCATTTTTGTGGGCCCACTTGTTGTCCCCACCTTTGAAAATCTGGTCCCAAACTTGTATTTTCCACATCTTAACTGCAGATTATTTCCAGTTCACATCCAGATTCCTGGCAACACCAAATCCCCTTAAATCTGGGATCATTCAGCAGGCACATTTAGTTGGCTCACCTGGTGGCCTAGTGGTTTCACTCAACATTGTTATGTGGGAAACTGAGTTCTTGTCCCATTCTTAGTTCCTTGGCCACCTGGACTGGCTAGAGGTGAGAGTATTGTGCAGGGTGTGTGTGTGTGTGTCATCGTCACTCCGCCCCTCCTCCCCGCCGCCCCTGTCAGCTGGAGGTCAGGCAAGGAGGGGGAGTATCTTTGCCACTCAGAAGGTTCCCTGCACATTGGTAACAAATTTTATAGGCTCTGCAGACAGCCCTGTCCAGTCTTTTTGTGCTGAAGGATGGAGGCCATAAAACAGGGCCAAGAGAGGGGTAACAGAACGAACGCAGAGGGATTTCCTCAGTGCTCCACCATGTTTCTGGAATTCCCCCCCTCCTCAAAGTCAAAGAAGTGTATGTGGTCTTCAAACTCTGATATATTCTCAGAGAGAGCAGATATTGGGAGGGTATTTCCTGTACAATAGTCTCTCCTTGTTCATAAGGAAATACCAGAGTTACATCTGTGCCTAATCCCTATTAAAAATCAAGCTAAATTTGAAGCCAAAAGGAATCAAGAGCATCCAAAAAGCAGCCTCACCTCCTCTGAAACCAGAGCAGGCCCAGGACCCCACCAATTCCCATCTCCTCTTTGAAGACCTCGGTGATAGGCATCCCAGCATAGATCAGCTCCTGGCCCCGCTCATCACAGATGCTGGTCATGAAAGAAGCTGGTTTCCGGATCAGACCCAGCTCCTGAAGGATGGAACAGAAAGACGAGACTGATCCAATCCAGTTTAGAAATAAGGGACACCCTTCACCCCGGTTCTCCCTCCCCCCACAAACCAAACTGTTCTGCAAATGATGACATTGATTGCTCTTTACCCAACTCCAGTACCTGAATTAAGCCAAGAGGAATCGCTTTTCTCTAGTCCAATGCAGGGTAGCCTAACAGTGACTTGCCTACATTTTTTGGTGTCATCTGCTACCTGGTATAGAAGCTACATCCCCCAATACCCAGCTCTACAGGTAATATTATGGAGCCCATGCTTTAAGATCTTTGCATTATCCCAGCATCAAGACATTGCTCCATCACACTGCATTTTGTTGGTATGATGTTGCCCCGCTAAAGTCATGAGACTCCTGGTCCCAGTGAAAGTGGGAGTGAAACATCTGTAACCAGACTGTCAGGTGACAAAGCCATTGGTGGCAAACTGTGGGATGACTATCTTGGCACCATGCAGTCCCTATTGTCGAAGCGTCTGGGAGGTCTAATGGATAATTCCAGCAATGTACGTCAGAAGCTTTTGGTACCTGGGAATCACTGATAAGTCAATGGACAGCATCAGATGGCATGAGAAACATGCCTTCCCTCCCATAATAGTTTTATCATCTAAAATCTCCCAAACAATTTGAAATCCCAGCAAACATCCCAGCCAGCTCTTAAGTAACTGGATGGCAAGATACACAACCTACCCTTGCCCAAGAATAGTCCATTGGTACAGTGGGGGGAGGCACTTCCTGGGCTGGTTCGATCACTCCTTTGGAAACGAGATCTTCATACACAGACCTAGGCAGAGGGGGAACAAGAGACAGACATCAGCTCATTTTCAGTTCTCTAAGGGGACTCAAGTCAAGCAGTTCTGGTCCAAAATTCATATTATATATATTGAAAGACCTAGTATGAATAGAAGTGTTTTCACAAAACAAGGTTATCACATCTCCCCTGCCAGTTTAGAGGTAGTACCCCAGTGGTTTCCTATCCCCTGCAAACACCACTATGTTCATGGTGCCCTATTCATACCACTTACTGAATTACATCTCCAAGCTCATCAAAACTCTGGGGAACAAATACTCCAGCTTCTTTCAGGGCCTGGTTCTTTGCAACAGCAGTTTCAGAAGCCTGGTTGGCACAAGCCCCTGCATGGCCGAACTGCACCTATTAATGATGAGAGAAAGTACCAAGAGATCCAGTCATCTAATTGCTGATAAAGAGAGAGAAAATAGAGTCAGATATTGGATTAGAAACCAGTGGACTAAAGTAACGCCACAAGCTTTAGGAAGGAAACCAAGTTGACCGGAGATGAAGAAGTGGTAATGCACATGGTCATATCAACTTTCTATTCAGCTTCATTACTTCAAGCACTGGCACAAAGACCCTGACCCTCACTTGTTAATGCTGCAAGGCACAAAGCATTATCTAATCTGGAAGCTATATTATTACAGTGTGGCTAATTACATTATTTTCCTCTACATCCCTGCCCCCGGAATTTTTACAGGGAAGCTGCATCTTCCTCATTTCCCTTTCCTAAACTGATGTACAGCATTATATGCCATTAAACAGCTGCCACATTCCAACTCAGGACATTCATGGCAATCCCTGTGTGTGCAGAATCCTTTGGGATCTTTCTGGATGAAATGTACTGCAGAAATATAGAACGCTACTATCATTTAGGATTTGTTAACTTCTACATCCATACATGCAGACTGCTAATGATGACAGATGTCTGGAAAGGTTTGGGTTCCCTGGGTGCAATGCAAGGAAGTGACCCCCCCTTCCCAAGTGTGCATATTTTTATTTATTTATTTTTTTTCCACACACACCCCCACCCACCCACCTACCTCTGAAGAGAACATGGTGGCACAGGTACCAATGCACCAGCAGACAACAGGCTTAGTGATGCGGCCCTCTTTAATACCCCTGCTGATCTTGTACTCTTCTGTGCCTCCAATCTGCAAAGAGAAACAAACAGTAGCTGGACTGGGTTCAAGCTTACGTACTTCTGTAGAAGTCAGCTTTTAAAATCAGGGCAGTATTTCTAAACGAATCCCCTTTTTTGCCACATCTCGTACACAGAGAGCCACATGCTTGTAAAACAAAAAAAATCAAGCCTCCCTTAATCTCCAGAAATAGTTTTTTTTTTTTAAATGGAAAGGACTCTGTGGGCCTATTCAGGGCTGGATGTTCCTACTTCTGTGAAACAGGAACAGGCAAAGATTCACTCTTTTAGCAGGAAGAGACAACTGTTACTAAGATGAACCCATCTGCAATCGTTATTGGACGTTCCCACAGCTGATTCAACTGTCTCTCAACCAATACTGTAAGAACTTTTATTATAAAGAAACAAAAAAGTTTCCAGAGAACATTTGGCCAGAGGAGCAGATGGGTTTAACTCACCTCCCCCAGCACCACAATCATTTTCACTCCCGGTGTGTCCTGATAGCGTAATACATGGTCCATGAAAGTTGATCCAGGATATCTGGGTGGAGTAGAGGGGAAGTGAAAGGAAGTTGAGCTTTTATTTATTTTAAATTTCATACTGAATGTTTCTGAGAAGAGGAAGGTTAATTTAAAACATTTCCACAACAACTTCTAAAAGACCCATGATGTTTTTGAGTCAGGCACTGGAAGAAACGAAGACATGTTCCGTGAAGAAACAGTTTCCTACCTGTCTCCGCCAATAGCCACACCTTCATAGACCCCATCTGTGGTTCTGGAGATTATGTTGTTGAGCTCATTGGACATTCCTCCAGAGCGGGAAACATAGGCTACACTGCCAGGCCGGTAGAGTTTTGATGCCAGGATATTATCCAACATCCCCCCCGTGTTGCCTATTTTAAAGCATCCAGGTTTGATCCCACCAACCTACAGGAAGAGGGAAGAAAGAGTCAGGCCCTTCACGAACACACATGGAAGCTGAGCAGCACGGAGACGTGTCTGTAGAGCAGGCTGCTTCTGCCAGGATTTATACAAACAGAAGGCAGCAATAGAATTGCTTGCTCCATAATGACCTTCAAACTGGGAAAGACTCTGCGCTTTACAGTACATTACAAACAAGAATTTGAAATAGATTCTAATGTATAATTTTCCCCCCGTAAGGAAAACTGATCTGAAAACGAGTATGAAGGAGTGTAGGAGCAGGAAGCACGATAGCAGATTTCTTACAGTCGCAGGCCCGATTATGGTAACCCCTTGCTTGTCAGCAGTCTTGATTAGTTTGCGTGTCAGTGCCTCTGGAATGCCTTCGGCAATGATGGCAATGGTGCGGATCTGCAGCACAAGATAGAGAAAACACTCACTCACTCAGTAACTTCCAGCAGTCAACAGCTTGACAAATTCTAGGGAGGCAGCAGACAGAATTATTTAAGGTAAGAACGTTCTATAAACACAACACTGGCCAGGGCAAGATCAAGTGTCTCTCAGAGGGCACAGCTTAGCTGTCTAGTTGTTAGCGCTGGGTGCGATCTTGTGAAAGGGCCCAGTTTTGAGTCCCAGTCCCAGGAACAGCCTGGGATGATAGTGCTGTGAAGACGACACCAGTAGCACTGTTCAAGAGCTATCACCGCCACTCTTCAATTAAAAAAAAAAAAAAAGAGAAAAAGAAAAAGAAGAAGAAGAAGAGCTATTGTGTCCTGAAGGGGGAGTCCAGTCCAATCTAGTCCTCCTCACCAGGCAGATGGGAGCTGACTCCCTATTCCACAAGCCTCAAAAATCCATTCAGACATAGCTTTGTAATACAGCACTAGACAACAAGTTGTTCTACACCCTTGGTACCCCTTCTACAGCTCACAGGCCACTTGTAGACTCAGCTGTGTTCTTCATGGACCCCAAAACACTCTGCCAACACTGTGGTTCTAGAATATTGTCTCCCTGGTATTATTAACCTGAGCATCCTCTACTGCTTGGACCGCTGCCAATTCCTCACTTACCTGTGGAAAGTTCATGGTCTCGATAGTACTGTCATAAGCAGACCGTAGAGATGCAAAGTTGATCAGCACATCTACCTCTGGGTGCTTCCTCATGGCATCAGACATGTTCTTGAAGACAGGGATCAGGATTTCCTTGTGGCCCCAATAGAATTTCTGCTTGTGATCGCCACTATGAACACCAAGATGAGACAGACCTGATCATTCACACTGCTGCAAAGAGACATGGCTACACAGTACTGCAGGCACAGGAATGTGTCAGCAAAACACAGTTCCCAGACACCGTCCGGTTGGCTTTTCAGATCTCAGGAGAGAGGTAAAGGTAGTAAGAGCCACTAGCAGGCAGGTGTGCAGTGTATAAAACAGAGAAGCATATGGAGAAAGCTGGATTGATGGGATGGAGAGGGTAAAGGAAAGCAGGATCACCTAGCAAGGATGATCAGCTCCACAGTGAAGTTAGCAAACAGGATCTCAATTCTGCCAGAAGCTGGATAGACAAAGCAAGGTGAAGAAACAATCAATAAGACACATTTAGAAATGATAAGAGAGCACATGGCACCGACATCCTCATGCCTGAGAAACACAGGGGCAGAGTGAGGGTCAGCTGAATTTCCATTTCATGAAAGGGGGATTTTACCCAGACACATCAAGGAGATGCACCCCAGTAAAAGCTTCATGCATAGATGTCATTCTCTGCAGTCAAGAGAGATTGTGCAGCTAGAATCAGATTGCTGAACTGAGTGGTTCCGATCATGCTTGGGTGTTAAAGATCCTGAGCATCCTAGCCAAATTCCACCTCTAGCCATTACATTTTGCCAACCTAAATTCCCCCTGCAGATTCAGTTAGGTACAGGATACGTCTTCATTTCTGGTCTTAAACTTTGCTGCCACGTCGCTGCTTCCTCGTAACAGCTGCCAAGTTCCAAGTGGCTGCATTTCAGCAGAAAGTGAAGCTCTGCCTGCATTTAGAGAGTGTGTAAAGTGCTTCTCACCCAGAAGGGATTCCAGAGATGTTATCCTCATGATCAAAGTTTAAAACACTGTGGAGTCTTTGATTGACTAGGGGCGGAGGAGGAATTCACTGAAGGACAGTGATACTAAATCCTCATATCTCAGATTCATAGACGAAAACAAACAAACAAAAAAAAAAACCTCCAGCAGCAAACAAGTAACAACCCTTAAGGGAGCTATTGTCTAGATTTCTCAGACAAACAGATCAACAGCCACTCTCTCATTCTCCTCCTTGCCACCCACCCTGTTCAGTGAAGAGTTTCCTTCACATCTCACTCCCTCCCCTCAGGGAGAAAGCCCCTCCTAGATGCAATTCAGTAGGACAACTCGGCAGCTTAGGCAGCATGTCGGCACCATGCACCAGAAAAGCCACATCCTACAGGGAGCCAGCGCAATTGACAAAGAGATTAAACAAGCTCTGCAGGATTAAATATCATGATTACATCCAAAAGTCCCAATGAGGATTGGGACTCCATTGTGCTAGGTAGTGTACAAATATAGCTGGGAGTCTCTCTGGTCCAGAGAGTTTAAGCTATTCAAGATGCAGAATGAACAAGGCAATGTCTGGCACTTTCAGTCTGACTGGTGAAGCAGGCTGAAGGATCCCAGGAAATTTTAAACAAATTGTGGATGCTGGATTCAACACTAAAGTCAAGGGATTAAAAAAGAAAAATTATAAATAAGGCACTAAGTGTTCATGATGTCAGGCTAAAGGAACTGCACTCTCCCTGCCCCAAAGAAAGCTTAAAGGAGGCAAATAGCCACATTCAAAGACAGGATCCTAGGCTAGATGGACCAGTAGTCTTATATAGTGTGGTAGTTCCTACATTCCAGTGTTGTGTGGTCATTATACTTTTGGGAATTCTTTGAAAGAGAGAGATGGGACCTGGCAACCGTGAACCCTGGGGTTGTTCCAAGCCATTTCACAGAGATGGCGTATAGTCAGGAGTGGCAAGGGAGACAAAGGGAGCAGTCGGGAGAACAGCTCAGGTGGCAGGTCAGAGTGTAGGAGAATGTATTATCATAGATCTAGGTTGGGATGGAGGTGGGCGGAGACTTGAGGAATAAAAGGGAGCTTGAAGGGGGGGAAAGCCAGTGGACAGATCTGAGAAGGGAAGTCAGGAAAACTACATGGTGGATACAGGACACTTACGTGAATGGATAAACCATGGCAGTGACCGATGGCTCATCCCTGGAGCAGATATAATCAAAGTCCAGCATGCCCTGCACAGCTCGTGTCTGCATCCCCCAAACGATAGCTTTGGTGTGACAGCTGAACAGGGTCGTGGCTTTACCTATACGAAGAAAAAACACCACCCCCCACATATAAATCTGTGCCAAAAAGCTGTAATGCAGCACTTCATACACACGGCTGCTGAGAAGTTTCCACATTCAGTGACTTCCCCCACTCCAAACCCACTGGCTGCATTGCAGGAAGCAGCAGACACCTCATCCAAGAGAAAGATGAAACTGCAGCTGAAGCAGCCTTTCCAAGAGTTTTCAATAGAATAGCCACACTTCAGTTTCACAAATGGGGGAGGAGGGGAGGGAAAACTGCTTCCTTCTCCCATCCCCCCAAATATACCAACCATTCCCCCCAAACTGGATTTATAGATTTATTCTATGGAGCTGGAGAGAGCTCAAATGCATCATTCTGACGCCCATATTTTGCATGTGGACTGTGACCTAGGAGGACCACAGGGGCTTGACTTCCCATCGATCGAGTTTTCAAAGTGGGAGAGCAGGAAATGGGGAGAAAAAGCAGGAAACAAGGAACAAAGAAAGCAAAGGAGCTTCACAAAACTCAGCCTAGGTTTTCAGTTCTGTTTGGAGATCAGAATCCAACAGGTGACTGACTGCCCCAGGAATGTAAAGGTAACACAGAACCTGGCTTCTGAGACCAAACTCATTGAAAAGGCAGCTCTGTAGCTAGTGAGGATGGACTCTTTGCTTAAAGTGCATTTACACGGATTGCTAAAAGTGACATTTTGGGTTCCTCAACTAACTCCAAACTAAAAGTCTAAAGATTCTTCCTCAGCTGCAGCGCCTGACAGCCTGGAGCTGAAAATCAGATAGGTTCTTTCTGGCTTTGCAGAATCCTTAATGCTATTTACCTGCATTATAAGATACCACCCTGATCCTTTTGTTAAATTCACAATTTTTCCCATCCCCATGAGTATATGGACTGCTAATTCAGACTGGTTGCTCTTAGCTCACATCTCGAAACGATTCTAGTCCGAAAACATCAAATAAAAAAATCCTTAGCATTTGTGTCTTTATACTTCTCCAGGATACTCCAGGAGGTGTCATTACCCCCATTTATAAGACAGGGACAGAGGCCCAGAGAGCTAATGTGACTTAGTTGAGGCCACACAGTGAGTCAGCAACAGAGCCAGAATTAGAACTCCGCAGTCTTTGATGTCACTGCCATGAGACAGTGGAGCTAGGCCTCGGTGCCTTGCTTCTATGCCATACTAGGGCAATCATTTCAAACTTCAGTTAGGCCCTGACCCGGCAGTCCATCCTCATTCAGCAAAGGGCTTAGGAGCATGCTCAAGTCCCATGACTTCAGTAGGAACTAAGCCCCTGCTTAAATGTGAAGCCACCACAACTTGGGGTTGATCCAAAGACTTTCCTCTGTGCTTTGCATGAATCACAACACAGACAAATGGTATTTGCATTACTATGCACCCATTTAAGCATACAAATAAAATGTGTTTTTAAAAAACACTAGTACCTGATTCTCAGTAAAATAAACATCAAAATCTTCCTAATAATATCTGGGTTTTTAAGAAAATCAAACCTTTTGCAGTGTGCCTGAGTTAAACCAGGCAACTGATCATTCATTCAAATCTTCCCCCTAATGAGCTCTCTTCTTTTGGCCTGAAATTTGTCCCCACTCCGCCCCCTACCCCATAAGACAACTGTCCCTGGAACAAATGAGTGTCAGATCTGCATTTCAAAAACAGCTGAAAAGTCAGAATGGTGCTGTGCTACATATGCTGCATGAGGGAGGGGAGAGGAAGAGGTGCGGGACCAGACAACACTGCAAACTTTTGGAGAGAGAAAATGGGAGCGTGGGGCAAGGGAGGGGGAGGAAGAAAAAAAATAAAAATAAAAAGTCAGTTGTCAGCAAGGCGAGACACATTCAGCTAGTCACACGTGTCCTACCTTGCACAGGTCTTGAAGCTGGGGCTGAATCTGTTAAAGAGAGAATCACCAATGCAACAATATGACACAACTGATGGAACAAAGAACTCGGGCTGTCAGGGCTGACAACAGCCAATCAGGGTGCCTGGTGAGTTGGTTAGATTGTGCCCTCCCTGCCCTACAGAGTTTTTTCATGAACAGCAAACTCTGAAAAGCAAGAGGCCACAATAGATGGAGTGTTTTAAAAATACAGAGGAAAATAAGCATATTAACAAAAAATGGCTAGGTTGCCCCAATACTATAAGACATTATACCAACGCAATCGAGCAGCTCCAAAGAACTGAAGTCAAAACATCGGCCTTCCAGATAACTGGATATCAAACTTGTAATTTCACCACCCAAGAATCTTTGCTCAGCCCAATGTGGATACATTTCAGGCTCAAGCAGCGCAGTCCTCGGCATTCTAAGACACGTTACAGTCTCCACAATCCATTTAAATTGTCAACCTCTTTGCTAAGACTGTCCACAGAATTTTCAGCTAGTACTAACTAGGATAGCAATCCTGGCTCTTGTGATCTGGCCTACTAGGAACAGGACTTAGTCTCACCAAAATCATTCATTTTTCTGCACATATATAACAAGGTCAGCATCGCCTTCAAATTCGAGGAAGAAAACCAAGAATCCGACTGTCTTCCACAAACACCTCTTCCTACCCCCAATTCTGCCATCAGCTTCCTTCTCTGCAGAAGTTTCTAACAAGTACATCCAAAACTATAGTGTCAAGCCAGAGAGAGTTCCCAGCTATCTGAACTAAGAAATCAGGAATCTGATATCATGGGTTTTCATTATGTTTTTCAAGAAGTAGGCCATGACCTCTATTGCACCAGCAAGGTTTTCAACAAACATCGAAATGGCATTAGTCCAGGAAGATCCACATGCAGGGAATGTTTTTCTAGGTACTTATGTGGCCTCCAACAGCCTACTATCGGAGCACATCCAAAAACAGAAAAAAAAAAACCCCAAAAAAAAAACCCAACCCCAACCAACCTGGAGAATATTCTACCTCTTGGCTACACCCGTGTAACGAGCTGAGAAAGCTGGATTTCTCAAGTTTAGCTTTTTCCCCTGGAGGACACATCCTGAGTCAAAGACAACCCTGACTCATCTTTTATAATCTAGTGGGACTCCAAGTGACAACTATTAAAAAACACCTACATCCAAGTTACAGCAAGATTCTTGCTCATTATCCACAAATATGGGTAGTGAAGACTGTCCCCCCTATGCCAGGCTGGAAAGTGGTGGAGGGGAAGGGTAGGCACTGGGACTCACTCCTGCAACAACTGGCAGCCAGAGAAGGGGGGGGGGTGTGTGTGAGAAAGCAGTGCTGTTAACGATCCATCAGAACCCTGGGCTTACCAGGAGGTGTCGTGGGCTTCGCTTTCTTGGCTGGAGCAATCTCATCAGGTTTGCACTCAGAAAAAGAGGCAGTTCTGCTTGGTGCTGGTGTCTGAAAGAGAACCCAGGAGCAGGGTCAGCAAAAGATGACACAGCAGAATGGGGCTTCCTGATGAACTTCTTCTTGAGGGCTAGCAACTGACTTTGGCAGTGTGTATCCTCCAAAGAAAATGGAAGAAAATTAATTTTGGAGACAAATGTTTCAGATGCCCGCCCTCCCGGAGTGTAGTAAGGGGCTGTGTTTCTAAGTGATGGATTCACCCCAGATGCAAGAAGACCCACTGGAGACTGTATTTGGTGCTGAAAATCACATTCCTGGGTTTGAGACATTGCTGATTTGCTGCAGAAGTGAGTTTGGTATTAGGAGGATTCACTGCAAGATTGGCCAGATGGGCGGAAACAGGCACAAACCTTGTTCAAATCGTGGCTTTTCTTACACCTAATGCAGTGTAATGCCAGGACTCCATGGGCTGTAAAACCCCCACACATCTGGGAGTCTGGATTAGACTGTTTCCCAAGAGGTAATGCCACATTTTTAAGTAGTTGTTCTTATTGGATTGTATTAGAGGCTTGCAAAAAAAAAAGGGGGGGGGGTCAAGGAAGTGACACTAGATGTGAAATGGGGCCAGTTTGTATTGGTAGGAGCCTCATCTAAAGCCTAGTGAAGTCACTGGGAGTCTTTCCATTGACTTCAAGTGGGCTTTGGATCATACCCTACATTACAGCAGGCAAAAAGGTTCATATTGCACATAATGTCACTTTTCACATAGATAACTGTAATTCTTTCAATATTGGATTTAAACCATAAAATAAATGAAAGTCAGAGCATGGATCTACAGTGAGACAGCCTACTCCAGTTTACTGAGCATTGCAGAGTATTTTTACGGTGTATTAAGCTTCCCTGGCAATGTTCTCAGGGCTGAAAGACAAAAAAGCACCTCAGTCTGAGAGAAGAAGTTGTAACCAACACATTTCTTCTATTAAGAGAGAACCAACCCCCTGTGCTTAAAGGAATGAGATATGGGTTAGCTGAACATGAATTTAATCATGATTGCTGCTGCCAGGATTTCCCTGGGAAGAGATTTACTTTTGGTGTTGGACAGATCATGCTGTACAGATTACAATAAATGTAGCCAAAAGCGTTTCGAGCACAGCATGGATATGGCCTAGGAGAGCAACAGCAAGGGGACAGCCAGCCCTGAAAGTCTTATTGCATTAAGCCTGACCAGTCCACAGAGGAAAGTCCCCTGCAAGAAGCGTCCATTGGACTCTGGGGGATTAGAACCCTGCTGTCATTATTCTTCTCACTATTTTCTAAAAAAGGTTTACAGCTATTTCTTCACACAGAGCAAAACAAAGCAGATCCCCGTGGCTGGAAAACTCACAGAAGAGCTACCGCTGGCATTGAGGAGGAAGTTGGCAGTGTGGGCTGCCGCAGGAGGCTGATTAGGGATAGGTCGCTGGCCGAGTGCCATGCCTACAATGGCGGTCATGTGGGTCTCTGTCCCAAAGACATGGATCGGGATCCCGGTGGTTTTTCCTGCACACAAGCAAACACAAAACCCAATCAGGCTTGAGGACAAGACCCAAGTGATTCTCCAATGAGGCCAAGTGTCAAGGTTTGAAGAAAGAGCAACAGAAATAAGAAAAATGACAACAAAGGGCTGGTCTATACTGGGGGGGGATCGATCCAAGATACGCAACTTCAGCTACGCGAAGTCCAGACGGCGCGGGATCGATGGCTGCGGCTCCCCCGTCGACTGCGCTACCGCCGCTCGCTCTGGTGGAGTTCCGGAGTCGACGGTGAGCGCGTTCGGGGATCGATATATCGCGTCTTAACGAGACGCGATATATTGATCCCAGATAAATCGATTGCTACCCGCCGATACGGTGGGTAGTGAAGACGTACCCAAAGTAAATGAAGCTTAAGTGGTTGGTTGAGTTTCCTTACCCACTTCACCCATGACACGCAACCCTTCCTGGTAGTTAGGGCCTCCTCTCCGTACAAAGATCCTCACGCCATGCTCTTGCAAACGGCCCTGGTAATCCTTAATGGCTCTCACAATACCCTAAAACAGAACATATGGGTGTCTGTTAGTGGAGAGAGGTCCTCTCTCTCCTGCCTTCCACATCCCTCTTGGAATTCAGAACACCTCCTCCTGCTTTATACTCTTTGAAAACCACGTTCATGGTTGTATTGGATCAGAGTCCATCAGACACTCTCCATAACTGGCCAGAAGGGGGCACTCTTGAACACCTTCCCAAGTGGCTTGTTTCTGCAGTGCCTTGTCAATCCTGTCTATGCCGGGGCATGAGACTTGGGATTGAACTAGGGTCTAACGCGCTATGGTGCAGAGCATTAATCCTGAACCCCCGCCAGCCCACGGAAGCGAGAGACGAGGCATCACACCTGAGTCCTCTGTGTAGCAGTGCCGCCTTTCCTTCACTCTGCCGAGTGACCTAAACACTCTTGGAAATAGCACTGCATAAGCAATGCAAGAATCACACCATGCAGCCTCCCTCCCCAACACATATTCCAACCCCGGTCCAGATAGACAGTGTGCGTGGAGCAGAGGGAAATTCACTCAGCCCTTAGCCTCTCTGCTGAGACTGCCAAAAAGGAGACCAGCTGGGAGTATGCATTGTGTGTTGAGGATACCCAACAGGATACATTTCCTTGTGTTTCAGAATCATAGGCTACCTTAAAGGTGGCTGCCACGTTGGTGAAGTTAGCAATGCTGCCTCCAATTATCAGGATTTTGCCTTAGGGAAAAAGAGGAGAATAACGAACAGCTGTTAGAACACTGGCACGACACACTCATAAGCGTTAAGCTGCTTAGGAGGCGGCAGAGACAGTCAAAGGGTCTCTCAGTTCTGGATGCTAGCCACAGCCCTGGACAGAATGGCTAGCCAGACTCTGGGAGATGTTTGATAAGAAGTGGGATTTGTGCCTGCAATAGCAAAGCAAAAAGTCTTCTGATAAGAGCCGGATGGTCCACACTTGTGTCATTTACCATTCCAAAGATACTGGCTTTTGTCATCTCTAACTTTCATGGGAGGAGACCCATTAGGTGCCAATCATCCATCCTAACCGGCCACAATAAGACATTGTCTAATGTTCTGAACATTCCACGTGATGGAGCTTCTACTGCTTGCTTTGGGAGGCTATGCCACAGCTCAGGAAGCTGTTCAGACATCCAAACATGATAGCAGCTCAAATCTGTTCCGTGTTTTTGCTGCTACAACTGGATAGCTGATCTCCTTAGACTGCTCTGGAAGAGTTCCTGTAACAGATCTGACTGCAATCTCTAGAGTCCAAATCCCAGATGCCCTCTCTTACCCTCTGGGTGCTTCTCCCGAGTCATGAGGGAGAGAATGGTCTTCGCATAGTCGTAGGTCTGCTGCTCACTAGGGGCTCCAGAGTATTCCCCATAGTTTGCCAGTTCATTTACACCCCCCAGGTCACAAATGGTGTCACTGTAAGGAAGGCACAAAAATTCAATTGGAAATGCTAAATATTCTTCACAGGCACTTCACAAGCCCTAATAAAACTTCATAAGCACTCAGGTGGAGGAGGTGGTCAGAAGGAGTTTGAGTGGCCAGAGTATTTCCTGAAAACAAAGATGCTTTCCACATGAAGCTTACTATGATTAATCCCAAATACATTTCCCAGAGGTGAGGGGAAGGCCTTTGAGATACGAGGCTGGGGGACAGAAGAGAAAACAAAATAAACCCATGACCACCACGAGGGAGTCACTGCTTTAAACATAACATTCAACTAGCTTCTTCCCTTCCAAAACACAGAGAAAATCTACTTCACAACCAGGCGGAGGTCAGAAAAGCCCTAGCAGAGTCTGGGAGGTGCTGGAGGCTCCTCAGCGAAGTCTGGGAGCGTGCTAGAGACTGCCTCAGCCAAGACTGCATTCTTCAAGCTGGAGATGGGAAGAGAGGTTTTGAAGAAGGACGGGGGGAGTCCTTTAAGTTGGGTTTGGATTCCTCTCCTGAGAGCACTGCTTAAAGCCCGCTTCATAGGTTTACCCACCTCCCAGAATTAAACTGTATTCAGTACTGTAACAAGGAAACAAACATATTGCACCCTGAAAGGGGGTGCTTCATGGCAGCTGGTCCTGGCTCTAAACAGGACCCAAATACAGCTAGTCAGGGTTTTTTCAGAAAACTTGTTTCCACTGGAAAATGTTAATTCCACAAAAAGTTTCGGTGTCGATGAAATGCATCAGTTTCAACTAAGTTTTTGTCAGGACGGTTTCTCAGGTCCAGGCTGAAATGGAAGGAAGGAAGGAAGGAAGGAAGGGAGACCTGCCCCAGAATAGCCAATAGCACGGGGTTAGGCACTCACTTGTGATCTGGGAGACCCAGCTTTAATTCCCTCATCTCACTCAGGCCCTAACTACAGGGCTATTGGCTACTCTGCGGTCTCTCTCAAACTTTTTTGTGAAAAAATGAGACAGGCTTTGGTTGTAAAAACCAACATTTTTCATGAAACAGAATTCTTGGGTTTTTAGCCACCCCTACTCCCAAGCACACATGGCTTGGGAGCTGCTGCACTAGGAAAACTCCCTTTTCCAAAAGCTGCATCAATTATTTTCCACTGGCAGCTCTCTGGGGTTAGAGTCCTCTGTCCCCTATAGAAACATGTGCTTGGTACCTGTAGACCACAGATGCCCCTCCTCCAGCCACCATGGTCCAGATCCTCCCCTTGGGGTTGAGAAGAGTCAGTTTCAAGCTGGCTCCGCTCTTTGCGTCCAGATCAGCGATATAGGCTTCCTGCAGACAAACAAGCACAAATGTTTTGGAAGGTGACTGCACTCTCCTGGTGAAGCAGGCTGGGTTAGGGAGACTGGGCCTGATTTCCAGAGGTGCTGAGCCCCTGCAGCTCACCTGGACTTAAACTGAAATTGTGGGTGCTCAGAACTTCAGAAAGTCAGGCCCACCACATATGTCCTAGTGCCTTTTAATTCTTGTTGTTGGACACCAGGCTACAGTTAATAACCTACTTTGACAACACCCATCCATTTGTATTTCTATCCAGAAGTGGAAGAGAGCTTCTCAGTCTCATCTAACCCCATCCCTCAGAGGCAGAGTAGGGCTGTTCTCCTGGGCTTTGTCCAGTCCAGTTTTAAAATGTCCCTGCAGATGGGGCTTACCCCACTTCCCTTGGAGGGACAACATCAGAGGGTAATAGATCTCACCACTGACCGATGTGAAACAAATTAAAATTCCTGCCTATGAAAACTGTCAACCCCAACCATCTCCACTGTCATCTTGTTCCTGGACAGCATGTTCCTCCTTACCAAGTAGGAGTTAAGACCGGCCATGTGTAGGTAAAGAGCCTTTGGGAGTCATGCAGAGCCAGTTGTAATGTGACTGGGCTGCACTGCCATTTAAATTTCTGTCTGTGGCCTTGGCTACACTGGCGCTGTACAGCGCTGCAACTTGCTGCGCTCAGGGGTGTGAAAACGCGCCCCCCCCAGCGCAGCGAGTTCAGCGCTGTAAAGCGCCAGTGTAATCAGTGCCTGCAGCGCTACACACTCGCTCGCAGAGCGTGGAGGTGGAGTACTTGCAGCGCTGCGAGAGAGCTCTTGCAGCGCGACTACACTCGCGCGGCAGCGCTGTGAATTCTGAAGTGTAGCCAAGGCCTTTATTTGTTCTGTCACTTCACGATGGGAATTTTACTTTGCTGCCCATGCTCCATTTTGAAAGCTCCCAGGTTCCATGTCCCCACATGCCTCAATTGCAAGAAAGTTTGCCCAAACAGTCCTTTACGTGGAACTCCACGCTATTCAAAAATCTCTCTGCTGACCTTTGATGCTGTAAAGTAGGGGAAGGGTGTTACCAAAACACCCTTGGTTATAAACTTTCTAACTAAGCTGCAGCCAGAGATCTAATCACTGAGAAGAGCCATCATTTGGCTCACCATTCTGTTCTTTTACCATCACAACAGGCAGGCACGCTAAACACTGTAATGGGAGTTCATTAACATTCTCAATGAGCATAGAGACGGAATAACCTTCAGAGTGACTTTCAGGGGGATGATTCAGACAGGCTGAAATTAAATGAATCCATTAAAGAGCAAATTGAATTAAGTGTTGGCACCCAGCAAGCTACATGGCAGGGGAAATATCTAAATGGATTTCTTGGCCAGATTACAAAAAACCTTTCCCAATGTAAACATCGTTAGGATTATTAAAATGAATGGTCTGAACAACAGACAAGTCTTCCAGAAGTGCCAGGCCAAGCATCTGAAAGAAGTTTTTGCATAATTAGTGAGTGTGCACCACACCCAGCAATCTCGGATGCTGCTGGAAGCCTCTATATATGGGGTGGGATTTTCAGAAGTGCCTAAGTAACTTCGGAGCACAAGTTCTGTTGACTTCCAATGAAAATTGTATTCTGAAGGTACTTTAAAAATCCTACCCAATTTTTTCTTGTTCTTGACTTTGCAGGCCAGCAACTGGTTTCAGATGTAATATTTTATTTCAAAGTTTGATAGAGGACAATTCTCTTCTTGGATCAACACATCAGACTTCAGCCCAGACAGAGATTTTACACGAGTTATAACTCCTGAGAGTGTGAGAGAGTCTGTGTGTGTGTGGGGGGGATTATAAACAGAAATGCTGAGTGACCATTGACTCTAGAAGCACCATCAGCATATGACACGACACAGCAAACAGCTATGGTTAGCCAGTATGGCAGGGGCTGCCCTTCCAACACAGACAACACTTGCACAATATTAAAATACACGAAAACCCCACCACACACAGCAGCATACCTGCCATTTAATTCAATGCAGTTAAATTTGATCCTCCAGTTAATAAGGAAGGTAAAAATTCTAAATGAGAGAGAAGAGCCCAAGGAAGATCCATGTAATGATGAAAAATGGCTACAGCGAAGAGTACTGTTACTGGCATTACGTGAATAACAATGTAAGAACTACCATGAGCTATGGTCCACATCTATTACTTACCAGGTCAGCTTTGTCAGCAACATGAACTATGGTTACAGGGCTGTATAAGAAAGGAAAGCCCCATCTGTGTCATGGACATTTTGACCTATGTATATGGAGAATGATTTCTCGTTAACTGTGCAACAGTGGATTCTTTACTTGCCTCTGGATAAGCCTCTCTGCCAAAGGGCGGGGGGAACTCCACATCCCCCCATTTCACTTTGCAGATGTAATCAGCAGTAGCGTCAATCTTTGCAGCCAAATCCAGAACATAGACGCCATCTTTAGTCACGACTGTATTAAGAGATTCACCAGAGTTAGTCTTTTGCTTGTACATCCTTATGCATGGATTAACAATATGGATTCCCCACTAACTGGATATTTTGTGATGCTTTCTATATTAGGAATGGTGGCCTGTTTGTTTTTTTCTTTATATTATTGACTTTTGGTGAAGGTCACCTCTATACAGAGAGCCATCCCAGGGTCTATACCCACTAAGTCCCCTTTTTTTTGGGGGGGGGGGGGGGGGAGGGGGGAGGAAGGGTCTAACTCCACTATCCATGGCAAATGGATACCACAGAATTCTGAGCATCTGTTTGATACACATAGACCACTTTGTCCCCGATGGGTGCAAGTTACCCATTAGGAACACACATTAGTACACCAAAATCTACAACAGAGAATTTTAAAAACCTGTATGAAAACTGCAGTCTGCTTGCACAAAATTTACCATGCAGGGATCTTTCCATTGCTTTCTTTAAGCCATTCAGAGTATTCTATAGCCAAACCAGGCCAATTACATCACTAGAGACATCTTCTGAAAATGATCTGATTCCCTCCTGTGTAGGGCCTCGACTTTACCTAAGATTCACCCAACAAAACTTTCTATTTGCCTCAGACAATTATACTGCTAGGAACTAACACATGCGGTATACAGTCTATTTCAGAGGTATATAATTAACTAGTCATAGAAAGCCTATGAAATGTTTTGTATCACTTTTGCTTAGGTATTACTTTGACCTGTATAGAATGTGGAAGGATGAACAACATCTCACTGTTAAACAAACAAAGCAACCCTGCAGTGATTCTTCTACCCTCCCCCCAAAACATCAGAGTTACCTAGTGGATTTATCTCCAGGTATGTGAAATACAAGTCTTCGTAAAGGTTGAAAAGGCCAGATATGAAGCTAGCCAGGACACTGCACAAAAATTAAAATACATAAATTCATTAGAGCAGATAGACACAGAACTGACATAGAAGAGCCTGTCCCGGTTCCTTTATCATCTTCGTCTGTGGAGAAGTTACCTCCTATCAATTTCTTTCATTCTCATGGGAAGATGTCTGGGGGATGACTCAGAGGTCACTAAACCCCCACTAAAAAAAAAAAAAAAAAATTGCAGAGAAAATGTTCTCTCAAGACTGTCATCTGATTTAATCTCATTAGGAGGCAGAAATCGCTCTCTCTGTCAGATGTGCATCTTTTGTCAGAACTCAACTTCAAGGACCATTAGCCAGAGAAAGGAAAGACTGGAGTGAACAAGAGTGGATCTAAGAGCCCGATGAGGTGCATGTCAAAAGAAGGCCTTCAGCAATTATTGTGTTTCCAAATAATGAATAACGAGATTAGTTACCTGCATCTTCTTTAACTAGATGCTTAATAGTTAGTTTTGAAATCTGAAGATCAATCTGAAATAAGCTTTTGAATATCAAGAGAGGCTATAAAATCTCAAGTAGCTCAATCAGGATAAGGAATCATACCTTTCCATAATCAGCCACTGGATTCAAGTAGTTTTACAAGCCCTGCAGGACACAGCAATCAGACTCTAGGAATTGTCCTGCCGCCCTTACATAAAGAATGATGGGGGGGCGGGGAGGGGCTGTCCTTGGGCTGAAGGCTGATGGGTAAAATATGCCTTTTGCAGATCAACAGGAAACACAGACAACCCCAAGGAACTTAGATTGTTTGGGATGCAGTGCACATTCCTGCTCAAACTCATAAGCTATAAAGAGAGGGACCTTCAGGGAGAAAAATGAGGATCAACTCCACTGAAACGTGAGAGCTTTTGGAAAGGAGAGTTGGCATATCCAACACTGGGACTGGGGGCATATAGGATGTAGAATTATATCCCTGCTTACTCTTTCTTCTCCTCCAGTGCGTGCACCAAGAGATGTTTTTTCACATCAGAGGCACTGAGCTTTTCATCCACCCTCACCAAGAGCTTCTGAGCTTTGGCATCAACATCTCCCACGTCCACACCCCCTTGATGGTGGAAGAGCACATAGTCCCCCTCGCGGGCAGCATAGATGCACACGTAGAACTCTTCTTCCTGTGGCACAGATCAGGGGGATGAACATTAGCCAGTAAGTCACACCCAGCAATGGCACTGCTTAGCTAAATTTCCAGGGGTCCCCAAGTTAACTCATTGAATAACCCAACCCAGGAGTAGTTGGTGTCCATCAGAGATGTCCTTAATACATCCCAGGGAATTCTATAGACTATTACATGGCTGCGCTTGGAGGGGCAGCCTGTGGAGACTTCAGGTCCCAGCAGGGAATGCTCCAGTTTGATCCCGACTGCTATTACTGGGCACATCATATCCCAGGACCTGTAGTCTCCTTGGTCAGCTACAACCTGCTCCCATTTTAAACAGCTGAAGTACAGGCTTCAGATGCCTGTTAAGGTGCCAGCACAATCCTCAGTTGGGCAAAATGAGGGAACCTCAGTTTCAGATGTTGAAAGTAGCATACAACCAACACCACACACTAAAGGCAGGAGAAGATTATGTGGTAGCTACATCTCCCTCAATATCACGTAAATTGTCTCACTTCAGCACTCTTTCTTATTCCTGCTTGACAGCCACCAGATTGGAGGAACAATTTATTGCCTGTTCCCATGTGATGTTTACTGCGGCAGGATTTCCTCCTGGTGGGGAGGAAAAGCAACCAACCAGTGCAGCTGTAAATCGCTGTCTCCGTGCAAAGATTCTAAAGCTCTCTATTTCTCAGTGACAACATGTGTCAGCGTCATCACCTTTATGACATCCACTCAAGTGCCTGCTTTCACCACCCCTAAGAGCAGTCAGTCTGGGCCAAACAAGATTATTTTGGAGCACTTCTTTGTGTTTTAATTGGAATACCAACCTGCTGGTGAGGGACGAAGGGCTCGATCAGGAAGTTCTTAAGGATACCTGTAGCTTTAGCGATCTGTTGATAGGAGAGAGACACACCATTAAAGCTTCACACAGTATCCACAGCTAAGACATGGCAGAAACACACTCCAAGATGTCTTTAACGCTGCTCTGACTCAAATCGATTCCCAACAACCTATTGGTTGGAATGTGTATCCCTGAAACCAAGATCTCCACTTTCCAGCATGGCAGCGTGTACTATTGCGGCTATGAAGACCACTGAGCTAGTCTGTGGCATTTCAACACTCAAAGGAAGCTTCAGGGAGCCTTCTCAGAGCTCAGTGGTTCCCACATCTCCATGGTCTGTGTTCTCCAGAAAGCTGGCAATCTAGGACATTGTACGGACATCACCTACAAAGTCTGCCTTCCCCTTTTCCAGTGGCGGCGGCTGGTCTTACTCAAACTGCAATGTAATAGTAGTTTGCCACTTCACATCCCAGAAGCACAATATTTCCAAAGGGCACCACTCAGTTCAGTACTAAGTGCTACACGAAATGCATGTACTGTCCCCCCCTTAACCCTTCAGTAACTAAAACACATTCCACAGTGTTATTACCAGTGTGGGGCAGGAGGACCCAAATTTTCTCATTGGACATTGTTAATGGCTGATTTTCTGAAGGGTTATCGTCAGATGAATAGTCAGTTATTGTCCTCTGCCTTGGGCTGACAGCTTACATCAGCTAGGGCACACGAAGGCACCAGAATGGTTTTATCCTCAGATGAACGGCAAAAATGACAGGCCATCAGCACAGGCCACAATCCATTTGCCCAGCCACAGGCAGCAGCTCACAGGCTGGGTTCAGACAAGGCAGAATGCAGTCACCCAGGAGATCAACACCCACATCAGCCCAGAAAAGCAGGCTTGGGAGGAACCATTCCCCAAACACAGGCTGTGGAGGGACAGCGACCTGTCCTCTAGGCTCACACTATGGGTTATAAATATTAGTGATCATGGAAGGGGATGGGAGATCTAGCAGGAACATCTGGTTACTATTTTAACTTCAGACACATGGAAACCTGGTTTCAAATGCCATCTTAAGTCATCATGTAAAGAACCATGTTTGGTGGTTCTTTAAATATTAGACAGTTGTCCAGATCCCCAAACGAGTGTGCAATTTGAAGTGATCAGCCCCTGCTCACAAGACCTCCAAGACTGGGATGTCAGTGGGCTGCAGGACAGGAGTAAGGGTCATCAGCAGAGCTACGTAAGGCAGCTTGCAAAACCCACGGTTCAAAGTAGTCTAATCTGCCTCAGTCTAACTAGTGCGATCATCCCCCACTTTCACAAGCCCTGAACATTAATTTGGAGGGCGTGGGGGGGAGAAATGTATATGAAGATAGAATAATCCGGTCTCCAGAAGGTCTGTTTTATGGATAACAAAATGCCTTGTCTGATTTAATCCTTTTTTAAATGTGTTTTTACCCTGAATGATTTTTTATGCCTTTAAAGGCTCAACACATTTAGGAAAATGGGGGAGAGACATAAAGCCCACGCCCCCATACTGAGCTCATTCATTCTGACATGGCCATTGCATTCCCCAGCAGTTATGTTAACACCCCTTGTTTCTCAAGGGGCAGCCCCACCCGGATGCAGCTGCCTGCCCCATTTCACAACGTCCTTCAGCAGTGGCTTTGCAGTCCCTGCTGTGCCTCTCAGTGATGGAGCCAGCTGCATATCAGTCACAGGAACGACAAGGCCTTGGTTACCTCCAGGAAGCACGACTCCATCAACTCCTGAGATGCAGAGGCTGAGATAACAGGTGTGTTTATCATTGTCAGAGTGTTCCCAGGAGAATAAAAGTTACAAGACAGCATCCAATTAAAAAGAGGACTGACATAAAACTCCATTGTCAGCCAACACACAGTGACTAATACACTGGCTGGCAACAATGAAGGGGTGATGTGAGGACTTTGCTTTTAGACCAGTCTTGTTACAGCTACTTTGGGCACCAGTAAAATGAAACAGCCACCCCAACTAGAGGCAGTGCTGGCTCTTTAAGGTACTCTTTCCGACAGATATTTAGAATTACACGAGAATTCAGTGAGAATTCACCACTTTTTACTGACAGTGCTTCACAACAGGCTTAGTCATTGGATATAAATAATGGGTAGTAAGTCGACTGAATTGTGCCATCAGTGGGCTACCAAATGGTGCTTAATTCCCAACAGTAGATACACACAGGTCAGATTCTCCTCTCTCTTGCTTTTACATCAGCATCACTTCAATGATTATTCCTGCCTTACACTGGCATATGCAAGAGGGAGAACCTGGCACACAGAAACTAACATACAAAGCCCACTAAAGATCAAGTTTATAGCATGAAAGGGTCAGAGCAATACAAGTGACTTTTCATCTCTTCACTGCTACATCTGCCATTAGAACCTTGGCCAATACGCTCCATACCTACCGTAGTTTCTTGTCCAAGACGTAGTTTGAGCCAAGCCTTCACCTGACCCAGGTCAAGATTAACGCCAACTAATCCGAGCTTCCCACGCCGTTTTATTAGCTGATCCGGCTTCACCACCAGACGCTAGAATATCAGACACGATGGGTCGGAGAAGAGAGAAAAATCAGAAGCTTTGAGTTAAGCAGAGACAGTCTCTGCAGATAATTAAACTGAGTTTTAAATTAAGTAAATTCTCTGCAGCAAATGTTCTGGGGGAGAGTTCGTTTAACCTACTGGCTGGCACCCAATGTACTATGGTTGTTGGGCAAAATGCACCACTAGTACTGCCTTAGGTACTAGGTGAGAGATTCCACCAAGTTCAAAAAGGAAAAAAAATCAAGAGATCATAGCCACAGAACAAACGCTGGGACAGAAATCCAGCTGCAATACAGGTAAGTGTGGGTTTTGGCAGAGGTGGGCATTAGGAGAGGGACAGAGTCAGATGAAGCCTTCCTGGAAGAATCCTGGTTGCAGTGAAAACTCACTTGGATTTTTGCTCATATTTGCAGAGCTGTGTTATGAGCCAACTGAACATAATCCCAAGAATTCTCCAGAAACTTTGTAGTCAATTTCCCTTTTGTTCTGACATTTAACCTGACTAAATTCCAACTGGGCGGTAACATTCTAAATCCGATTTCCCTTGTTGTTTCATTTGGATACAGGACTTGTCCTAACTCCCTGTCCTGAACGGATGCAGTTTGTTGCTTTGTGCTGTTAAAAAAGCTGCCCTTTATTCACTTCAGAGGTTGCTATATGTCAGCAGTGGGTGTAGGGATACAATTTGTTGAGTGCTTTGGGATCCTTGAGTGAAAGTTGTGAGAGCAGCTGTGATTATAATGAGATTATCAAAAGGTGATTTGTTTAGCTGTTCTCCTTCCCTGAGAATCCACACTGAACAGCATTCATTATTCCCTTGGTTTTGCAAATTGCTTTGGCAAAATGCATCATTAACTAAAGCTTCCCTGGTGAGCCGAGGCTTATAAAGGCAAAATTGATACTGAAGTAGAAATACGGAATGCCAGAGAAGCAAGCAAATGCAATCTGACTTCTCACAAACACGACTCTTTTCTTTACCGTCCCCACAAGCTCTGCACATGGAGATATGCCAATGCCAGGGATAAGGCTGGAATTAGGAGGGTATCACATTTCAGTTGACCCACAGTAGCTCTCTACCGGACCACTGCAGAAAGTTCCGCCTAAGGGAAGTACACATCTCAAGCTTACATAGGTCACTTTCTGCTGAGCAGAGAGAATTCTCTACAGTGCTGTTCCCCTCCTGTGCTGCCCATCCCCATCCATCCAGTACAGACTATAGCTTTAGTGATCTATGTTAGAGAGCAGTGGTTCTCAAACAGGGGTACATGTACCCCAGGGGTATACGGAGGTCTTCCAGGGGGGTACATCAACTCATCTAGATATTTGCCTAGCTTTTCAACAGGCTACAATAAAAGCACTAGCAAAAAGTCAGTACAAGCTAAAATTTCATACGACTTATTTATACTGCTCTATATAGTATACACTGAAATGTAAGTCCAATACTTATATTCCAATTGATTTTTTTATAAATGATATGGTAAAAAAGAGAGTAGGTAATTTTTCAGTATAGTGTGCGGTGACATTTTTGTATTTTAGGTCTGATTTTGTAAGCAAGTAGTTTTTAAGTGAGGTGTAACTTGGGGGTATGCAAGACAAATCAGACTCCTGAAAGCGGTACAGTAGTCTGGAAAGATTGAGTCACTGGTATATAGCAACGACAAAGCACTGCAGTATATAATATGGTGATAGCAGTGTCCCTTTGCTGGATGGACACTGAAAGCCCACGGACATTTCAAGTGTTCAGTAAACAACCCCAACAAAAGGATGTGTGCTGTCCACGGTTCTTTTAGGATTCCTGAAAAATCTCTCTGAGATACTGTTGATATTTCCCAGCAGCAGACTCATGCAGCTAAGTGGTGAGCATTTCATTAGTTACTGTGCAGGTGCTATCAATCAGCAAATAAGTGGACAGTGTGGAACATCCATGTTCTGCTAACCAGTGGCTTAAAGTAATTAATAGCTGGAAAGGAGCCAGGTTAGCCAAACAGAGAAAGGAACTCTGAAGAGATGCTCACTGCTCTGTGGAGAGGATGCATGGCTAGGAAGCAAGACAAAAAGACTTAGGAAACGAAAGAAAAACAACAAACTTACCTTACATTTTTGCTCAGGTACAAGAAATCCAACAGATCTACTTAGCGAAACACAAAACTAGTCAGAGTGAAGGCCAGTCACTCGAATGCTATGATCATCCTCAACCCACTCTATAATGCTTGGGTAAGGAAAGGGTGTCGGAAGAGTGCACGTTATTGGGAATGAAGACTGAAATATCTAGAGCATAGTAGCTACATGACGACCTCACACAAGTTTTTTGTTGGCATGGGCCAATCTCTTGATTATTTGTCTGCTGACATTTCTTTGTTTAATAGCAGTCACTCAAGCCCTCAAATCAGCAACACAGTCAGGTTCCTTTGATACCAATACAGCATCACTGAAGCCACATTTATCAATTCTCAGTGCTCCACTGCCACGTTGGGAGACTTTCCTCCACATTTCCTGGCATGGACCCTAACAGCTACCGACACTTCACGATAGAACGGCGTTCTACAATGCAGGCTGCCACTGCCATCAGCTTTAGAGAACCTGCATGCAATGCTCCAACGTACAGCCATCTTGGCAGTAGCCATACTAGAGTGTGAGAGCAGGGGACCAGAAGACCAGATGCATGGGTTTTAGTCCCAGCTATCAGACTTACTGTGTGATTCTGAAGGCAGGTCATCTAACCTCCCACTCTAATTACCCACCTCACAGGAAGTATGTTGTATAGCCTAGTGATTGTAAAAGCTCAGAGACTCTCCAATGTATGGCACTGCAGAAGGGCAAGTCATTGTGCTTACCTCAGTCAGGAGCCAGGGATGATCCTGGGTCAGCCGATCCCAGTCGGTGTCTGATGTCACTCTGGCATACTTGAAGCGGTTCTGAATGGCTGAGGATGTGCAGATATATTTGTACAGGAACTCCTTCCCCGTCTGCTCAGATATGGCTTTGGCCGACATGGCTATCTAGTAACTGAATACAATTAAAAGAGAGACAAGGTGAGTGATGTAATATCTTTTCACTTCCTTTAGACCTGAGGAAGAGCTTTGTGAAACACAAAAGCTTATCCCTTCCACCAACCGCAGTTAGTCCGATAAAAGATATTACCACACCCACCTTGTGTCTCATATCCTACGACCAACACAGCTACAAAAATTATATATATATTTTATATAGACAGAGACACTGACTCAGATTTGCACACACATTTCATCCTTCAGGTTCAATGAGAACACAAGGCTAGGTTAAGTAGAGACATTTATTAATCCAAGTGCCTATCCAGAGCTCCAGGCTCCATCTTGTCATTATGAAAAACCTACAAAATCCCATTGATCAAGTAAATAGTCCCCATTGATCAAAAACCTCACCCCATCCAACGACTCCTAACACCCTATCCATTTTCCACCCCCTGGGGGAGAGCCACCCAACTCTGCATTGGAGGAGCCTTCACAGCAGATGACCTGTCAGGTCCGTGCCTCCCCACCATCCCCACCCCTACAGGCAGTGCAACCTGCCCACAACTACATATACTCCGGGCACTGGCTCTCTCTCTCATCACAGGGCCTCCCTGTAACATACTTGCCATTTTTTCCCCCTAGGTTGTTTTCGAGTGGCAGTAGGGCAGTATGACAGAAACCCCTCCTCCAGCCCACTCCTTTTTTCCAAAGTATGTTGCATTTCCAGCATGTCCTCCTGACAGGACCCTATTAAAGTTACAATTCTTAATGTTTTAGGAATCACTAATCAAATGCTTATATCTGAACAGAAAAAAACCCTCCATTGTGGTTTTTCCCCCCCCAGAGAACCCTTGTTTACAATACCACCTCACTTTATTTTTCTAGAACAAGTGGCCTGAGAGCAGCCTCAGGCATGTAGACTAAGTGCTTAACAGCATCTAGTTTCTATGGGGCAGGAAATTCTATGTGCAGAATTCTGGAAGGGGACAAAGTGAGGTGCTGGAAGTTCTTAAATTCCTTTCCCCTTCCAAGGGATGGGCTCTATGACTAGCTAGGAATTCGCTCCTTTAAAGACACCAGCACACAGGGCTCTATATTCTTGGAGTTGCAACTTTGTTTTGGTTGCAACATCAAAGTACCAAAAAGTGTTAGTTATAAATGGCACAGAAATGTTTATTGCTGCTACAAGTAAATGCTGATTATAAAAATTCTCATTTTACTGAACCCATTTCCACGTGACAGGCACCAGATCAAAAGCTTGTGACCCGCAGAAGTTAATAAACGACTCCATTTTTTTCTAAGTGGTTAGATCACTGACGAACTGGCATAGGCAACAATTCATGGATTTCTGGGCATGACAGCAGTGCTCTTCAGGCTACTTGCCTTAGCAGGACTTCCCTTTGCAAAGCTAGGGATGGCAGTACGTGGAGGAGTTCACACAAGCAAAGCTCTTTCATTCCAGTTTCTTTTGTGGGAAGAAAGAAGACGCAAGTGATTCTCTCCCAATTATCGTGAGCCAAGAACTACTCTGAAAAAAATCCGCAGCGAGGAGTGGAAGAGCATAAGAAAAACAAAAACCCCAAAACAAACCTTCAGCCACCTTGCAACAGTCTGGCCATGGACGTGTACAAACATGACTTGGCAAAGACACAACTGGCAATCCCATCACAGGACAGGGCCAGATAGCACGTACAAATCCATGAAAGGAAGCAGTTTAAACAGATACAACAGAATCTATTCAGTGCCTCTATTTCTTGTAATGTCTCATGGTTAACAAGAACCTGTGCCAAGGTGAGCAGTTTCATCTTTGATTTAGCTAGGCCCATGACTGGGAATAATTAGTGATTATAAACAATAAAAAGAACAGGAGTACTTGTGGCACCTTAGAGACTAACAAATTTATTTCAGCATAAGCTTTCATGGGCTACAGCCCACTTCTTCAGATGCATAGAGTGAAACACACAGACAGAAGATATTTATACATACAGAGAACATGAAAAGGTGGAAGTATGCATACCAATTGTAAGAGGCCAATCAATTGAGATGAGCTATCAGTAGCAGCAGAAGAAAAAAAACTTTGAAGTGATAATCGAGATGACCCATAGAAGGTGTGAGGAGAACTTAACATGGGGGGAAAAAATTCAATTAGTGTAATGACCCAACCATTCCCAGTCTCTGTTTAGACCTAAGTTAATTGTGTCTAATTTGCATATTAATTCGAGTTCAGCAGTCTCTCTTTGGAGTCTGTTTTTGAAGTTTTTTTGTTGCAAAACTGACACCTTCAAGTCTGTCACTGAGTGATTAGAGAGGTTGAAGTGTTCTCCCAATGGTTTTTGAATGTTATGATTCCTGATGTCAGATTTGTGTCCATTTATTCTTTTGCGTAGAGACTGTCCAGTTTGGCCAATGTAATAATGGTCTTCCCGCCCCCTTGTGGGCAGAGTTTTAATTTAAAGGAAGGAATACTCTCGATGGAGAAAAGGATGGGAGTCATGCAGCATTCTCCATACAAATCTGGGATCTAACATGCTAATCCAGGAGACCCAGGTAGGCATTCAAAGTGCTCATGGAGGTGGATAGCTGAACTGCTGCGTTGGCTGAATGCAAGAGTGCAGCCCAATGCTCAAGACCAGACTGCTTTCTGACTAGGCTATAGCACAATGCAAAATGAATTTGCCGACTGACTGATCAACTAGATTAAAGTTAGCTCTATTTGCTTATTCTGAGACTTTCCTAAACAATGTTATCGTTTCTCAGGGTGGAATTATAGCCGTCTCTCGGGGATACGTATGTCTGGCAGGTACTAGATTGCATGTTCAGCCTGGGTGTCTACATGCAGTCATCCTGAAATAGCTGTAGCAGCAAGCTAGTTTCAGTCAGATGTCCGTCATTATGACTGACTTAGCAACAGCCTGTAGAGGGAGAGGAAGTGCAGCTGCAATCAGGTGACAACAGGATATAAAAAAACAAAAACAAACCCATCAGAACATTATCTCAATGCTACTAAGAGCAGATGGGGGCAGCTAACAGGTAAGTGGATATGCTCCATGCCAATGGATTAGCTTCAAACTAACATTTTATGACCTGGAAGGCCTGCTCCATAGCTCGTCTCCGGATCTGGCTACAAACAGAGTTGTGCAGATACCCTCTTGGTGTTGCTGGAGCTACTCAGCCATACTGCTGTGAGGGCTATAGTACCAGGCTCCTTTAGTGCAGTGGTTTTCAACCTTTTTTCATTTGTGGACCCCTAAAATATCTCAACTGGAGGTGTGAACCCATTTGGAAATCTTGGTCTGCGGACCACAAGTTGAAAACCACTGCTTTAGAGGAACAAGAAGCTGGATTGAACAGTTGTGAACTAGCAAAGGCATGACAGAAGACAGTATTGAGGAGAAGGAATATATAGAATATTGGCAGGTATGTCTGGGTACATTGAAAAGAAGTCAGCAAAATGCTTGTACCCAGAGCTTTTCAAGTGTGGTGATTATGGCTGGAAGATGACCATCCTCTTTGCTCACTACAGAATCCAATCTGCTGAGTCTACTGTCAAGAAGAAGTTTTCTGCCCTTCTTAGCCCTGCAGATGCCACAGAGCGTTGGGAGAGCAAGCTGGATTCTTCTGTGCACCAACGTGAGCTGCAGAGTTGTTCTGATTGCTGAATCTTGATTAGCAGGGAAGCTAAAAGAGGCAGAAAGAACAGTTGCACCATTGGGAACCAGCTGGTGTTTTCAGCACCAACAGTTAGGAGGATTGTCTGATGATTTGCAAACTGAGCTAATTTGATCTGCAATTAGCAAAAAGGAGCTGGAACATCACCTTTACAGAGTCCCTTTCCTGACTCTAAAGTCACTGTGACAGATTGTTTTGGACAGGACTATCCAGAAAAGCAAGTGAATTCCTTCCCAGCATGATTTACTGCCTGGTCAACCCACCGTCAACCTTTCATTTTAGACAGCAAAGACCAGGCATAATTGTGTTGGGTTAGTAGCTGGCACAGGTAAATGCAAGCCTTCCCTGCCCTCCCAGACACAGCTCTGCCAATCACCTTCACAGCAGCCAGCATGCTATTCTTGGCAATCCGTACAGCATCACTCACAAAGCTTTCCATCCTCTTCTTGCTTTTAAGTGATGCTCTTTCCGGGAGCTCCTGCGCCATGCGCTAGCTTTTATTGTGTCGGATAGAAAGCTACAATACACTTGGCTCCCACCCCCCATGAAAATCCATCAGTTGCCGGTTTTAAAGTACGCCAAAGGGCAGCCTCAGAGAAAACCAGGGTCGCATTTCACTGCATTAAGATACTAAGTCTGGCAAATCCATTTCTTACGTATTTTAAAGAGCTAATTACAGATCTTACATTTTGGGTTCTTTCAGCATGAAATACTAAAGTTCTCATACAACAGTACAGCTCTGCAAAGCACTGCAGTACACAAATTAAATAATGAAAGGCCCTATACACACACACACAAAATATCATACAAGTGACTAAGAGTCAGTACTCCAAGGTTCCATCCCTACCTCTGGGAGGGCAGTATGATCTAGTGGTTAGAACAGGAGACTGGGAATCAGGATTCCTGGCTCTCATTCTGGCTCTGTGTGACCTTGGGACTCTTCATGACCGGAGGCTTCCTGTGTCTGTTTTGTCCTCCGCCGCGCCCCCCCCCCCCATCTGTAAAATGGGGGAATACTAACCTAATCCACTGGGCAGTTGTTAAACCTGGGGTATGCAAAGTGCTTTGAGAGCCTCTGATAGAAAGGCAAGAGTGCTGTTATTGTGGGTTATGACACTGAAAGCCCACTAAGAGCTCATAGAAGGCTTTACAAAATCTGTATTCCCTATTAATTCAGCTGTTCACGATGGTTGTTCCTCACCTGACCCCATCGTCTGGAGTTTGTGACATCACAGCTGCAGTGGTAAGAGTGGTGATGCCAAAAGATTATGACACTGGAAGCAGTTAAAATGTTAAAAGCAACAGATCCTGCTTTCATTCAAGTGTTGCTTAGTAATACAATTGGTGGGGGGAGAAGCAGTAGGACTCTATCATAGTTAAGCTCTTCAGCTGCACTGACCCTGCTGTTCCCATGACCATGGGAATAGAGAGAAAACTGAAAATATGCTACTATCTGCAGAACTGTTCTGCACAACAGTCAGCAGAAAAATTTCCACAAGGCATCAGCAGATGCCTGCTCTATGCACTGAGTGCAGGTCTGCCATCTGTCACTAAGACAATCAGAGCAGGCCTTGCTAATTGTTTGTATCTGTTCTTTAGCAAACATTAGAGCAATAGCACAAACTCTAAGTGAGGTACATGTAACATTCACTGCAAAAAGACCTTGCTGTTTTCCAATAATTAAGTAGGTCAGGTCCCAAACCCTACAGGCTCATTTTAAGCACTGAGGGCCTCACAATTATACCTGCTGCCAGTGGGAGCGGTGGGCACTCAGCTCCTCTGGAAAAAAATATATATGTGTCTCCGGTACACACACAAGCCTCAGGGTCACCCCCACCTCCTGTCCATTGGTCCATTTACTTGTTGACACCCCATTGTTTTTGCTTTCCTGGTCAAATCAGATTACAGTCTTCTTGCAGCATTAGGCTGCAATCCTGCAAGCTACATGCACGTAGGCAGACCCCTACACCTGCTGCTATATGGTCAGGACCTTAGCAACATTCCTCAACTCAAGGGAGGCGTGGGATAAAGTTGGTGAACCTGTTAGATTGCTAATCCACAGCACTCTTTGGCTGGCTAAGGAGCCATTCTAGGGACCCTATGCAGGCATGGCACACAGGGTTACTGCTAGGATCCAGTTATTTCATTATCAGAAATCATCCCATCCTCACTGAAAGGAGAATGGTGGAAGCACAGTTGAATGGGAGACAAGACAACAAAGTGAAGGACAATTAGTTGGCATTTCAGAGTGTTTGGTCCAGACTTAACTTCAGAATATGCCACGGACATTTATTTGAAACAGCTGCACGAGACTTAGTGCCTCTGTATGCGCAAACAGAGAGCTCTGCTGAATGAAAGCCATGCACCCTGCCTTTTCTGATGGGTGAATCACTGTAGTAAGAATTACATTAAACATAATTTACTTTTTATGAGACATTGATGTCTCATGGAACCAGCCTTCACACGTGCCTTGAATAGATCTTGCTGTGTTTACAGAGGCTTTGCAAAAGAACAGTCTATCTGCAACAAAAATTATTTTGAGGGCATTCTTTGAAAGCAGTAGCGTTATCTACAAGGGTGTAAAACCCAACAGCTTTTCAAGGAGCACCATAAAGTTATATACCAACATCAGAAGGGCAAAAAAAGATTAAATCATTATTAAACTAGAGAGGTCTGCGGAGTTTTCATGCTTTCTGAAGGGCGCATTCTTCCTAGTGAACTCTGGGTGATTTGATGCTCTGTTCCTCTATATATGCTGGTCACATAGTATCAAGTTGGGCTGAAGAAAGTGACAGGAAGGACCAGAGCGCATCTCGTGGGAGATTCAAGCTACTCCCTGATGGATGAAGAGGTCACAAGTAACATCACAAATCAGCCAAAGAAAAATAAAAACAGCCCCTACTGCCAACCTCCACACTGTGCCTCAGAATAGCCTTCATATTCCAGAACACATCCTCATTCCTCAACTCACTGAGGGGGGAAAAAGGGGTTTTGTAGCCTGTTTGGAGCAGATTCTGGCCCAAGATTCTAGCTCTGTTTTCACACCCTGTAGTAGATGCATTTTTGTGGGGAGACCATCTGAATGATTCCACACCAGGTGTTGAACAATCTTTCAGCATGGAATTTTCCACTACAAAACAGAAGATTTTTAATTCACTGTATTTTAGGTCATAAGGGCAAGAAAAGAACAAAATTACAAATCAGCTGACCCAAACAGAAAGTCCTTAAACCAGCCCTGGATGCAGCTACGGAGATATTTGGATAGGGAGTCTTCTCCTTAGACAGAGGGTCCTGAACAAAGAGGACTCTGCCCAGCCCAATCTAGCTAGAAACCACTAGGTAGAGAACAAGGAACATCCCAGTTGACTACACAGGCCTACATTTTTAGGAGGGTGAGTGTCAAGAAGATGAATAACTAGAGGGTTGCACACTTTGTTGCTTCTGCAGGCCAAGCTCACTGCATATACCAGGAGCCTCTTGCACTCCTCCATTCCCCAAAAGCTCCCTGTGAGCCATCTTGCCATCCCCCTCTATGTCAGGCATTCGCTGTAATCCCGCGCCCCTCATGCCAGGGGCTCAGGGTGTCTCCCTTCCCTCGCCCCATCAGGGCAGTATCTCCGTGCTCCCCATTCCCCTTTCTGCCACATGCTGGGGCTCTACGAGTTTCCCTCCCCCTATACAACATTTCCCCCATCCTCCTCCTCCCATGCCAGGGACGCTGTGTGCCCCCCGTGCCAACCATCTCCCCCACATGAGGGGCTCTATGTGCCCCCCCACGAGGGGTTCTGTGTGCACACCTATTCTCCCCCCTTCAATTAAAGAGATTCAAGCTGCTGGCTCCGTTGACCAAATGCCAGGGGCTCCATGTGTCCCCCATGTCTCTCCCTTTTCAGTCTTCTGATTTTCACCAAAATCAACAGGCTTCTTCTGCCCATCGGTGCCTAGAACATTCCCTGAACTGGTGGAGTTGATCAGATGCCATGTTCAACAGTCATTGTGTTACATCCAGACAGACAAACAGAAATGCCACTGAACTGAGTGCAAGGCCCCACAAACTCAGCCCATAGATAATATAACATTTACCTTCTACCAAAAAGCCTAGTAGCTCTAAAAGAGAACTGGATATTTAAAAGGAAAATGAGACCCTACCGTTATGTTCGGAAGGCCATATACTTCCAACCGATCTATAAGAGGATATCAACCCTCCTACTTCATGGTTTGAACCAACCATTAGCTAACGGATTTAGGAAGAAACGTCCCTTCTGGACAGGTTATTCCATAATTGTCTATTACAGGGTTTTGCACCTGCCTCTGAAACTGCTTGTACTTGCTACTTCCACAGACGTGGTGTTGGGCTAGACAAATCCCTGGCCATTCCGAATTCCTATCCCTTCTCGCTGTAAGGAGAAATTATACATATGGGAGTGGACACACATTACTTGGCAAGAGGGTAAGCTACCCCCACTACTTTGCTGGGCCAGTTGCTAAACACAATTCAACATGGTTCTTCCAAAAGGCTTTCAATTAAACTGTGAGGGTCTATTTATTCTGGGGTTTGTTCCCTTCACAAAGATGCCAGTTACTGTGTTAAGAAAACCTGAGTTTTCAAAACATGTTACCAGTTCATAAATAGGTACCATCTTTACAGACATTCCAATGCTCATTAGGAACTCCAGAGAGGGTAAAGGAAACTAACAGACTAAGTCACGTTCTCTGGGGCTCAGAAATATTTACCTCCCTCTGTCAAAAAAGATGTCACCTGTCAAAGCTGCTGGAAGGATTTGTTCTCAGGAAAGTCATTCAAACACATTAACAAGGTAGAAGAAAATAAAATATTCATACTGACAACGATGACAAGCTAGATAGGTCTGAGTGGCTGAACGCTGACTCTGCTGTAACTCGACAGATGCAAATAACCTGATCTGGTGAGGACCAGCTGAAGGCAAAATACCACCTAGTGCAATGGCACAGGAT